TTCCATTAATTCAATTAATTCAATTAATTCAATTAATTCAATTAATTCAATTAATTCAATTAATTCAATTAATTCAATTAATTCAATTAATTCAATTAATTCAACAATTCAACTAATTCAATTAATTCCACCCCCCCTTTGGAAATAAATGAATTAATTGAATTAATTGATTAAATTCATTAAATTCCAGGGGGAAAGTGGAAATTAAGGAATTTAATGAATTAAATTCTGTCTGTGCAACCCTACAGGACCTAAAATAGGGTCTATTTGGAACATGGCTCTTGTGAATAAGTATACGTTTTGGGGCCTGTTTTCCTCTTGTAAATACGATTCCCAGCTTCCAAATAGACCCTATTTAAGCTGCACACGGGGGGGGGGGGGGGGGTGGGGGCGGTTGGGGGGGGCGGGGTGGGGGGGGGGGGGGGGGGGTGGGGGTGGGGTCACAGGTGGGGGGGATGAGAAAATTTTGCATGGGGGTTAGGGGGAAGGAGGCCCGATCCGGGTCTGCTTGTTCCAGACGCTTCTCGGCAGGGCGAATAGGGTGAAGGAGTTGCTGAGCAAGCTTGTTCGAGGTTGCCTAGCAAAGTCTGTGACTGAGCCAGAAAAGGGTGCTTCAGCTGGGTGTGACGCGGCAAACTGTACACCCCCAAGGAGCATATCAGCCTTTGTAACCCCTAAAGGAGAGGCGAGTGAGCAAACCCGAAATCCTGAACATGTGAGCCCCTTTTAGAATCGGTGAGTGGCCAACCCCAACACCCTCAACGAGAACGTGTAAACCTGAGAAGATAATGATCCCATCGGTTGCTGGACTTATTGAAGCAAAACGTCAGAGCTCCAAAACGCCATGGGAGGGCGCGCTTCCGAGATGCCACAGTTCCGATATTAAGCACTTCACAAACGCGTCAAAGCCGGGCCGAAGGGATCGGGGTGGGCAGGGGAGAGGACTTTGGCCTTTGGTCTTTCGGATTTAGATTGGGAGTTGGGAGGCCGGGGCCCTGAGAGACCGAAGCTGGAAAGTCAGCCAGGATGAGCCTTTGGCTAAGACTCTTCCTCAATCTCTTCCTCAGCTTCAATCTGCGCTTTTCTTGGATGAGCTATAGGATTGTTTTAAAACACAGGTGCCGACAGACAAGTATGTTTGTAGGCTGCTGCCTGCAACATGTTCACAGTGGTTCTCCTCTGCCAGAGGAGAAGATGATTCTGCATTTAGTTCTGGCTGCGTTGGTCACCTTTGTGGCCGTTGTAGCGATTTGGGAAGCTTGCATGCAAGCATGCCAATGTGGGAATCCATCAGATTCAATCGTCAAAAGTTGGGCAAGGTCCTGGATAAACTGGCCGACCTGGAAGCAACTGGCGAGGAACTAGACCATGCCATCATACAGGCAGTCTGCATCAGCCTGCACTCTTCCGCAAACTCAAACTGTTCGGGCTCACTGCAACGCGCAGATTATCATGCACAGGGCGTAGATACTCAGGAAGTGCTTTGATTCGCCACGACATGCGAGGTCATTGGCGGGAACTCTATTCTGGTGGGCTTTGCGTTCGAGCCTTGGAACGACTTTGCCGTTGATGTCAGGACAGCGGCATAGTGGGTCAGCCGCAACTTTCAGAGAAAGTACGTGAATGCTTACGGCACTATGCAGACATATGCCCACAACTTGCGAAGGCTCCTTTTTCTCGGAAGGGTGGGAGAGAGGGAGGGAGGAGAGAGGGAGGGAGGAGAGAGAGAGAGAGGGAGGCAACAAATGCCCGAGCGAGCTATTCTTGACACACCGCATGTGAAACGTCATCGGGGCAAGCCACGGACGGCTGCAGACGCACAAGCTGACGACCTCACAGAAGGAGATACCGCCGTACCGGACCACGCCCCGGGAGACGCAGGTCGAGCTACCATGTGACACACCATCGATCATCAACACACAGCTTCAACACCACACAGCCATGGGAGCACCCACGACCAAGACTTTCGCTAATTCGAGGATGGCCTGTAGGAAGCCCCTTTTCGAGACGACCTGAGCAACAAGCCGGATGGACGGGAAGAAACGGACAAAGAAGCGAGCCCGCCGAGCCGGAGGAGATGCTATGTCCAAGTGGAGCGACACTGAGTAACAGCAGGGACGGCCGCGCATTCAACCAACACATGAGTCGGGGAGGGCCCGGGCCGAGGAAACTTCTTTTCCAGATTTCGGAGTTCAAATCTCTTCGTGTCTTCAAACTGAGGGCGAGCTTTCGGGGTCGACAGGCACAGTGGACGGTCTTAAAGTTGTGGCAGTTCACAGATGGCACGAAATTGAAACCGGCATGCCGCCAAAGGTCTCGCCGAAGCAGGGGCTGCACATGCCAACCGCACTTGACCCAGGGGGGGGCTGGTGCACGGGAGGTTCCCCCCCATGCTTTGAGACAAAAAGATGAAGAAGATGGATGCTACACATGCCGTGGCCCATGTCAATGCTGACCCAATGAAAGTTTGCTGTGGGCTCTTTTCTCTAAGTTCACACAATGGCTCAGTCATGCATTGATAAATGATACACTGCATGCATCGATTCGCATTTTCTGATACTACCGTAGCGTTTGCCCGGTTGGGCTGGCGCAAGCTATACACAAGCTCAGAGGCTGGGGCTGCCGGTTTCGGGAAGAAGGGTTTGGAGCGAGTTTGCCAATGCCCCTTGTGTCTCCCCCCGGCCAGGCATTCCATTCTAAGGTTCCAGTGAAGCGCGAGTGCGTCTTCTCAACCCATTGCAAGCCATTGCAAGAGGCGCCTAGAGCATTCCTACAACATTGCCAGGGCTTTCAGAGCACACGACCCAAGCTTCCAGAGGCCAGACACTTCCAAGCCAGGCTAAGGCAGCAGCAAGTATAGCAAACATAGCAATGCAGTATCCACGCTGAACGCAAGCTGTCATGGGCTGCAGACAATGCATCTTCCTTCCCCACAGTCTGTCTCGACAGTTCAGCAACCTTCCCAGCGCTCCATAGCCAAGGAGCAGTGCTTCGATCGTGCCATCGAGGCCGCCCAAGCAAAAAAGTTTCCGTACTTCTGCATCAAACAAAACCTGAGTTCTTGCACATTGACCTCACAAAGGTCAATACAACTCAGACGCATCATCTTAGACCTAACCATGTTGGCTGGTAGCTGCACGCTAACGCTTGAAGCGGGAGAGTCTGAGTTTGCCTAAATATGACACACACGTCAAAGGTCATTGACGTGTCAGTGGTTTATGGCCTGAGACGCATCCATCTGATTACTGTCTGATTCTTGTTGTTGACAGGTCATCGCCAAGCAAGGCGCTTCTTCCCGGTTTCCAGATCTATATCTACATGTTGTCTATATACATATTTCTATGTATATATAAACACATGTTTATACATACAGCCATACAGCCATCCCAACACATGGCAACAGTGCTAGCGTGTCACGAGATGCGAAGGAGGTTTGGTCTACATAAGCTGCCAGCTGGGGCACGGAAGGCGTTTTCGAGCGTGAGCTGTTGATGCATGCCAAACGCAAGGCGCTTCTTTCCAAGTGCCACCGCTTGCAATGAAACTGGTGCTGGCAGCTGCCTGCCTTTGACTCCTGGCATGCAAAGCATTGCAAAGCTGTGACAGTTGCATTATCCGTGTGTGAATGCTCAGCATCAGTGTATCAGCATGAGCAAAGCTTGCACGTGTCACTCCTGATGTTGCCCGCATGGATCAAGCATCTCGTGGAAAAGCACAGCTTGTGCGCACCGCTGTTGGACAGTCCATTCTGTCGCACTTAGTCGTGAAGCTTTCAGTGCTGGTTTGATGCTTTGACCGAGCCAATCTTGGATTTCTCACATATTGCCTTGAAATGCTGGCTTCTCATGCATTACACTGTACACGCTTGACGAGGCCATGCTTAGAAACTCGAAGCACAGGTCCAAATGCTGTGCCCAAGTGCAATTATGTGCAAGGGGCGGGCTCGGCGCTGGCAATCATAATCGGTCTTCGACCTGCAAGAGCTTTACGCAGTCCTTCGTCGCTGAAGCTCTGTGTCATAAGCGACCAGAACAATTGCATGGCACCGAACTGAATGCGCAACGCTCAAGGGCCCAAACAAACAGCAAGTCGCGCCGAATGGAACTGGGTGAATGGAACTGGGTTGAAGTGGCAGAGGAGGCCTGAAATCTGTCTAAGCCTTTTCAAATTCCAGCGGAAGAGTTTGGAGGAGGATTGCGGCGAAATTGGTGAAATCATCCCAAATGGCGACACACCCGGCACGGCACACCGCTCAGAGCGCCTCTGCAGAAGCCAAAAACGAAGTCTTGGGGGGAGAGCTCTGCTTTTGGAGTGCTGTGCTTTTTTTTTTGGGGGGGGGAGGGTCGTTTGGGGGGAGCCTCCGGCCCGGCTCCGGCATTGGAGAAAGTGTTGATACGAGGATAGAGTTGTTTTTTATGCGTTTTTGACGTCACTGGTAAATTTGAAAAAGGGGCGCTTTTTTTTAAATGTGGAGAATTAACTTAAAAGCACGTGGAGTGCACAAAAACTCCGAGGTTTCATGTAGCGGAACACAGCATGAGAAAGGAATCCACGTGTCGTGCAGGATGTCGAGGTCTGACATGCTCTTAAGCCTCAGGCATCATTGTCCCAGCGTGGCGTCGCTGGATCTTGCCCATGGTTTTGCGAGAGGCTCCTTCATTGAGATCTTTTCTGAAGGGGGAGAATGGGGAGGGGAGGCAGGGGAGGCAGGGGAGTCCGGCTGCACAGCAGAAGGCCAAATAAGTGAGGGAGTACAAGTTTGGAGTGCAGCAGGGGGGCATAGCCCAGCCGTCTGTTGCAGATATTTCAAGTTTGCTGGAGGCCTTATCTGTGCTGCATGCAGCATAAGGGAAGAGCATGGAAGAGCCAGAGACGCTTCACATTTGCAATACATGATGCAGGGGTGGAAGTTCGGGTTCGTCATTGACGGCAGCGATACCAAATGGGGAGGCTTGCATGCATGTCTGGAGTCAGCATTGCTGTTACGGAAGGCAAGTTGTTTTCAACATCTTCAACTCTTCAACATCTGACCGTGTTCCTTCGTGCTGATCGGTGCCGACTAAGGAAAAGTCTTCAAGAGCAAGCGCTGGCACTGGCTTATGCACAGGGCCGGAATCCAAGTGATTGGTTACCTGGCTGCGCCTCATCACCCAAGTTTCACGATCAGAATGTTCCAGTCATACTAAATGCCAAACTACGCAGACCCGCACATGTAGGTGGCTCTTGGCGATCAGTACTGTGCTGGGTGTAGCAAATTCGCTGGACGCAGTGCACGTCCTTTAAAAGTAAGCTCGTGAATGGATGCCTTCAGTGTGCATGCCGGACTTGCCAACCTTGAAAGAACGCGAAGTCACCGGTTGCATCTCAGGTTTCAAGAAGCCGTCAATGCTGTCAATGCAGAAGAGGGCGTGCTTCTGAGCTCTGAGTCTGCCACCTTCAAGTAAACGTGCTGGCCCGATCTACAGTACTGCTTTGCATCTGGCATGTAGCAGCCCCAACACGATTTTCCTGAGCTTCACGCTCAGGACAAGAACCACGGCATGGCCTTCCAGAAGCGTCGCAAGGCCTTGTTTTCTCGACTACAGGAGAATGGCAGTGATGCTCTGGATTTTTAAAATATGGAGATGAATGCAGGAAAGAGGATTGTTCAAGATCTTGCAGAAGGAAAAGGTCCTGTCCATTTCAGACGGCTGGCCAGATGCTTCTCCTGCCAAGGACCGAGCGACAAGGGGGCTCCAAATCACAACGCAAAGGCAGAAGCCCGACACAAGCCCATGATAACCCATCATAACCCATCCTTGAGCCACATGTGGTCGGAACAAAAGGTTGCGCTTTTTCGCCTCTCAAGCCCCCCGACGCCCCAAAAGCATCGAGCCTTCAGGCCCACAGGCTTGAACCTGAGACCTTCACGCCTACTTGGCCTACTTGAAAACTCTGAACCTGAGTAGCACATTCTAATAAGGCACGATTTGGGAACGGCCGTCACATTGAACTAAGGCCTGAACCAGCAACCTACACCTTGGGGGGGGGGGGGGTTTGGGGCTTGTGCTGCAGGGCGAGTTGCACTGCAAATGGTTGAAAGGTTGAGGGTGAGAAGGGCAAAATTGAGATAGAGGGAATTCAACGGGCCACTCAGACAGCAGCCCGTGAATTCACGACTGCGACCGCCTTGAGAGGAGGGTGGTGACCTGAAGTTTGTATATGGTGGAGGCAAGGATTCTTGACTTCGCTGCTTAAATGTAAATCTTTGCTGTTGCATGCACGTCCTGTTCGGATTGATCAAGGTGCGGACCTTCAGCAGCCTTTACTGCAAGACTCTGACCTTTCCAGCCTCAACCGGTCAGTCTCCGTGCTGCACAGGCACGGCACTCTCCATTTTGAGAATTTGCATCGTCCTTCTGCCGATGATGCTGCATGCCTCAGCATGTGCGAAATGCCTGACACGACAATTAGACAAATTAGCACCAGGCAAATCATCCACCTCGCCGAGGCACATGGGCACCAGACCAATGCTTCGCCAACCCTTGGTGTAGGGTATCCTGAGTTGGGAAAAGAGTTTAGTATTTGGCGCTCTCTGGAGTTCATCGTTGTCGTGGAATTTTCGCTGAGTCTTTAGCAAGTTGCTTGAGCTGGGAAGTACATCAAAGAAACGAAAGCCAAGAAAGACAGTTAGCCGAATTCGGTGGTCCATTGAAAAACTTGGTGGTCGCGTCGGGTTCAGCACAGCAATACTCTGCCATTTTAAAGCATGGCACAAGCTGCCGATGTCAATGAAGACATAAAGACCCAGCCCAGCTCGTTTTTTCAGTTTCTTGGATTGCCATGTTGCAGGCGCAAGTTTCGAACCAAGCAAGCCTGCGGAAGCTTGGCAGAATTTCAGAAGTTGCAAGTAGCGCCGAGGGGTCTGCATCTGTGCAGACAGAGGCACATACAGTAGCCCACACACGGTTCCGGAAAGCACTTGCCTGCTTGCCTTCACGCTGTTATCCGACATAGGTTCTTTCTTGTTGCTCTTGCTCTTAGGCCTGAGATGGCCCAGCTTAGCGAAAGGCATCTTGGTCGAATGAGTCGCGAAGTGTCATGACTGTGTTGTCACTACTTGCAGAGGTCGTTTGTGCTACAGTCAGCTACAGGCAGATGTTTACGTGCGAAGATCGTTATCACGAAAGCATCGATCTAAATCTCACAGGTTTGCTCTTGAAGGTTGAGGGGTTTGTGGCACGTGGAGGGCTTGTGTTCAGTCTTTTCTGCTCTTAACCACTGAGTAAGACATCGGATGGATTGGGGAATGCATGGAATGCCTTGGGGGATGCCTGCGCTGTGCCAAGGATCTCGAACTTAGCCACCCTGGCGGCAGAGGTGGGTATTGGCACTCGGCGCAGACAATGAGGGCAGTGCCCAGAATTCTGCGCAGTCGATGCAACTAGTAGGATCCTTGATCTTCGGAGCCAGTGGGTTCTAGGAAAGGTCCAGTTCAATTGACCTCATGATTAGTCTCACTTGCCGTTTCATTTCCGCCAGCAGTTCACACGGTTGCTGCCGAGAGGTGCAGTTATGGAGTGTGTTAGCTGATGATAGAGTTCACTGGGCATAGTTTCTAGAAGCCTCATATACGTCAGACGAGGTACCCGACCTGGGAAGTCCCTTCCTGAGGCTGTCTTTAAATTCCTTAATCGTTGGATTGAAAAGGAAAGCCTCGCGGGTTTTGGCATCGAGAGTGGTGCAAATCGGCACCCTACTGGTATGGCATCCTGCATCATCCTGCGGACTCATCGTTTTCGGTCCCTGAGAACGTCCTAACGTGCGGCACACATGTGAAGAATCACAAGGTTCGGCCTGCAGCAGCCGTCAAAAGCAATACTGTAAGAGCGCAAGAACCGATTGCGTCGGTGGAGCGGTCGTACGAAATCCGCGCAGCGACGCGACGACACGCGAACACGAGCGAAGAGACGCCCGCGGGCATCGCTTAACTTCGCACGGCGTCGCTGTTCTTCGCTCGCCGTCACTCTCGCCTTCGCCCGGCGGTCGCCCAGCGTTGTCTTGTTACTGCAGCGAAGAAGGACATGTGGGCGGGAAAGCCTGTGGGCTTAATGGGCGATTTTTTCGGCAGGAAGCTTGAACTTCTAAGCCCTAAACCTTAGCAAAGAGGGAGATGTTGGCCCATGGGTTGGAAAGCCTAAGCCCTAAACGGATTCAAAGGAGGTGCTGGGCAGCGCATTGGGCGGGCACCCTAAGCCCAAACAAGGAAATGTTGGGCAGGGCGGCGGGGAGTCCTAGAGCCGAAAAGGGGATGTTGCGAAGCATTGCGTAGCATCCCAATCCAATAAAAATCGCTTTCAACTTGAGTTCCGAAGCTTAAAATCCTCAAATGAGCAGTGTATTAGAAAGCTATCCTTCGGAGCTTGTGGGAGTTCTTGTTTACCAATTTGTTGTCAAGGGCCTTAATCTCCGATACATCGGGGTTGAAGGTGCATGGGGATGGGGGCGGGGGGGGGGGGGGGGGCCCGCCTTTTGGGGGGGGGGACATACAAGAAATCCTCTCCTGCTGCGGGACCTTGGGAAGGGGGGGGGCCCCAGGTTCTCAACAAGGAGAGGGGCCCCCCCCTAAGGTCCCCCATGTAACCAATATTTCTCTCTATTTTTTGCTATCGCTGTTGCAGGCAAGGTCTCCTGCATGAGCTTTCGTTGGTTGCTCTCAAGAACTGCACCACCGGTTCGCATGACAGCAGCAAACGAAGGGTGTACTAGACGAGCTTGCTTTGTGAGGAGTCAGAAAGATGCTTCTATGTATGAACTCTTCCGTACACAGAAGACTACGCATGCGTCGAACCAACTCTGTCAATGTGAGTTTCTTTGCACGCAGCAAGACAGTGAAGAGTATTCCTGTAGGAGCTAGCTTTCTGTCATCTCCAACACTTGGACGAGCTGGTTTGCGTGATAGCAACCAAGCGACGAGTGCCCTGGACGATCTTGTCAGATTTCCTGTCCTAGGATGTATGACTGTAGCTCATGTGCAAGCGAGTTCAGTTTGGCGATGTGCGTGCTGTCTGCTGTGCCCTAGCTGTCGTTCGCCCTGCTCTCAAGTAAAGTTCTGTGGGCAGGTCCAAGTTTTAAGGATCGAAGGGTTCAGGGTTTTAGGGTTCAGTGGTGAGGGTGCAGGGTTACTAGTTATTAGCTACTGGCGGGTTGATGGGCGTGTGCTGTTGTCCCCGTTGCACTTGGAACCTCAGCAGGGGACTGCTTCGAGGAGGTGTTATGGTCTTTACGAGGCTCTGCGCGGACAGCAAACTGTCTTGCCCATAAATATGCGGCTTGTGATGTCGCCACATCCTCGCCGGTTTAGGTGGCAGGTTTGCTTGGCGATCGTGTGCCGACCCCGTCGATCATTGTGACGGTTTGCCGACGTTGGGACGTTGTCCAGGGCTGAAAACGATCGCATCTGCGAGGATGCCAGGATCTCGCCACGTTTGGCATCAAAAAAAAGCACCAAATCATCATTCTTCATCTAAAGGCCGAGGAAGCTTCCAGTAGATCTGTTGGACGCCACGGGTTGTCTCTTCACCTCTTTGGCTTGTCGCCCTGAGCCGGTTATCGCGCCATCAGGTTTCAACGAGAACTCTCCTGCCATGAGGCCAAAATACGGCGACATCTGGGCAGCTTTTACAGCTGCTCTCTTAAACACACAAGTTCGTCGACACCAGCAACAGGAGAATGTTCGTCTTGCAAGAGTGCGGCAGGCAGTTCCATGATGCCACGATGGCTATTTTAGTTAGGTGGCTTCCGTGAGTCCGCGAGGGCCGGTAAGTGTTTCCCGACAAGCGCGGTGAAGCGATCCTCCAAGTCACGAAAAAAGCCTACGTGCGCACCCTTTGCTGTCTTGTGCACGTCAGCAACTTGGTGCCACTGTTTCGATGTGTTGGTCGCTAGTTCCCCGGGCGCGTGGAAAGCGCAGGGAGAAGCTTTCCATGAGAGCCCGAGCTTCACTCGATGCGCTTGCAACCTATGTCTTGCTCTGAGAAACTGCTAAAGTCTCCTCAGGGTCAAGTGCCCAGCGCAGATAGACCCAGAGTCCCCAATGCCAGTCCAACTTGGAGATGCTTGGAGCAGTTTGAAAACATTGGCTTCGAAGGTCCAGAGACAGTCCGCCGCTTGCACAATGATGTGGAGACACTGGCAGATGCAGAGCAGGGCCGTGAGGTCCGTGAGGGTGAGCTCGTGTTCTGAACATCACATGCCTTTGTTGTCCATGCCTTGCGACCCTGCAGCCTTGGAGCCACAGACCAGGTTGCAGGTGTGGACCTGCAGCTGGAGATGAATCTTCGTCAGAGCTGTAGAGGCCTAGAGCAGCGCTTGCACCCTGACCCATGCATCCTATGAGGAGCACATCGGGAAAAGGTCTTCCCCTGATAGTTGTCAAAGCACCCAAACAGGTGGTTCCGGTTGACGGCCGAATCCTCGACGAGATTCTCAGATGGTCGTCAGACCAAAACAGGTTTCCTGCCTGCCCTAAGCACCCTGAACAATGCCAGGCCTGAGCCATCTCACGGGGGAGCCGTTGCCTCAGGCGGGCCGGGAGCAGCAAAGTGTGGGCACTGTCTGTTTGTGGACAGCCGCATGGGCCGCATGCCGCCGCAACATACTGTGCTTCAACGAGCGCCTTTGATGGGCACCGTGGCAATGACAGTTGTGTGGTAAGCATTGGTAAACTGCACTCATCCTTCATCCTTTCAGCGATTAGGGCTTGGGGAAAGGGGGAAAGGGATGGCTAGAGCTTGATGGCCAATTCTGACTTGCAATCTTCTGCAAGCTCCAAAAACAGCCTGTAATGGGGTGTGGTGTGTGTTGTGTGTGTGTCACTGTGTGTGTGTGGGGGGGGTTGGTATGAAATTTCTCGGTAATTTCTTTTAGAAGGAAGGAAAAAGACGGTCGCCATTCATCGAATCTGTCGGTAGAGGGGGGGCCGAGAAGGGGGGGAGGGGCGATAGAAAGGCGGTCGGCGTTGTGTTAAAGATAGCGGCCGGTGTGAGCGCACGTTCTCTGCAGCGCGCGTGTTTCGGAGAGCTCCGTGGATTTGGATCGATTCGCCTTCTCCGTGAGCGCATGTGGAGTGTGCATGTGTGTGTGGAGGAGTGTGGATGTGTGTGGTGGAGTGTGGATGCGTTTGTGTCTGTGTGTGGTGGAGTTGGGTGTGTGTTGGTGAGTGAGGGATGTGTGTGGTTGTGTGTGTTGTGGAGAGTGGTAGTGGTGGTGGTGGTGGTGGTGGTTGTGGAGAGTGGTGTGGTGGTGTGGTGGTGTTTTGTTTGCGGTGTTGGTTGGTGGTGGTGCCCGGTCGTTGCGATAGATATCGCGTTCTGTATGAGAGCGCCTCTCTGACGATGTATTGCAGCGTGCATAACTTTTAGTGTATATACCTATGTAATATATATATGTATATATATATATATATAATGTGTATGTATATTAATATTAATATATATATTGTATATATTGTATTGTTATTTTGTATATATTTGTATATATTTGTATATGTTTGTATATATTTGTATATATTTGTATATATGTAGAACACATGTTGAATGAATTTGTATTATAGATGTATAGTATATGCATTTGTATATGTGAAATCCATGTTTGGTACATGAATAATGAAGGTATGTCGTTACTTATATACATGTGCGTCTTGATGTATATATGAAAATCTGTGGTACATGTATATGCGGATACATGTATGAGAGAGGGACCTTTATGTAATATGTTGCTATCTGTTTTTCTTTGTAGTTCGAGATAATATTTAGATTATTTATATATATAGATGTTAGTTTCGGAGCCTTAGAATTTGAAGAGCTTAAATATGTAATGTCATGAAATTATGTTTATTGTGTAAAATTTTGGGTCACAAAAATATTTTGAATAATTTACATAATATAAACAAGCTATTTAAAATATTTAGGTTCTGGTGCATCGAAAATAGTTTAAATATTTGATGAAATTAGATTAATGGTCTGGCTTCTGAGAAATCCAATATAAGTAAACTGTTTAAATTATGTAAATTGCGACAGCAACGTAAACATAAAGAACAAAAAGTCATGCAGAAAGACTTCCAAATGGGATTCATTCTGTACATATATTAAAGTGTTAAAAAACAAACGAAAATGTTCGCCAGAGACTCCCAGCGACAGCAACACGAAATACAAATGTCAAAAAGAATCAAAACATTCATAATAGTAGTGTAAGGATTTTGTTTTGTTGTGTATATATGAAATATGTGAAATTCGCAAATGAAAATACGAGCAAGAGGCCCACAACGACACCAACGCGGAGAAACAAAAAAAGAAAAACAATGTCTTAAATAATGATAGAAAAATCACATAGCAATGTAAGGATTGTTTTTCAGACATTAAATATGCGGCACGTGAAAAAATATTACTCTTCTGACCAGTGTTCCCTACATATGTCAGTTAGTCAAGAATTATGAGTTGGCGCTCTAGACTTGAGGTTTAATAAGAGAAGAATGTAGAAAATGCATTGGTTTGGAGTTCTATCCGATTTTGAAGTTACTCTTTTAACAACTAAGCTGAAACAGCCCGAAAGGTCTCAGGCTCATACATGTATACATGTATATATAGATGTATAGATGTGTATATATATATATGTATGTATGTATCCGTGTATATATGTATATGTATATATATATATATGTATATATGTATGTATGTATGTATGTATGTATGTATGTATGTATATATGCATGTGTATATGCATATATATATATATGTACGTATATATATACATATATATATATGTATATATATATACATATGTATATATGTATGTGTATGTATATATATATATGTATATATATATATGTATATGTATGTATATATGTACATGTATGTATATACACAAATACATATACATATACAATATACATATACATGTATATATATATACATATGTGTATATTTTCATATGTGCTTATGTACATCTGCATGAATATATTATATGTATCTTCAGCACTTATTGATCACAGGCCGTTGGCCCGGGAGACTCGGTCAGCTCCGGAGTGTGGGCCCCGACATAAACGGCCTTGTTACCGTCGGTCTTCATAAAGAAAAGCGGAGCATTGCGAGACAGACTAGGCAGTGACCATTGATGGGGCACTGCTGCTTGAGGCCTGCGCACATGATATTGGGTGTCTTTCTGATTCTTGCCAGCGCGGGCTGGTTTCGCGTTTGCAAAGGTTCAGCGAGAGGCTGGAGAGTCCACGTTGCAGCGCTGGACTCTCGCAGTTCCTGTGGTGCTCTGCACTGATGCGCGCATGCAGGCACATGCGAATGCATTGTACCATGAGGCTTGGCCAAGCTCACTTCAGGAGCCAAGGCTTGCTTTGTCATGCCAAGTTTCGTGTCATTTTTGCAAACACTTGGTGGCAGTTTCCGTACGATCTTCAACGGTTGAGGCCTCGCGGCCGAAGCTGGTCACCCTCGTAGATGCCGTGGCAGACCGTGGGGAACTTGGGCCCTGGGCCATAATATCAAGGATCAAGTTAAGTCATCAAGCGTGTGTGTTATCTGGAGCTTTATGCGATTGACTGGTGAGGGGCCACGGCGCCTTTTCCTTTCCTAAGCTTGGCCCTGGCTTCTGTTTTCCTTGATAAGTTTGGCGAACCCGCCCTGGTCCCCTGGTCTCTGGTCCGGTCCCGCGTCCTTAGGTCCTCCTGTCCTCTGGTCTCCTCTGGTCCTCTCGTCGTGAGCCAGCGAACACGAGGCATGAATAGAGAACAGAGTGAAGAGAACACGGGCTAGTATATTAAAAACCCAACAAATGAAGGGATTTTAAAGGGGCTTTTGATATTATAAACTAGCCCGTACACTTTCCCCTCTTTTCTCTCTTCACTTTAATAGTATTCACGCGCGAACAATAAGTGCACTTGTAATAATACGAAAAGCGAAGGTGAAAAGACCCTGGAATCCATCCCACTGTCAGTCTTGCCCATGAATCTAATACTTGGGGCTTCACCTTCACCACCTACCTCTTTCACACGCCTGTCTAACCTTCCGGAATCTCCCTGTCACACCTTGAGACCCTAACTCTAATATCTTGGTTCACCGGGACACGTTCAACCTCTATTCTACCGTCTAAACCTTTATCCCCAACCGATCATAGGAGCATTGTGTTCGCAAGGCTGTGCGCCCCCCGGCCGTCAAGCCCTGCAAGCTTGCTTACAAGCCGTGAAACGTAGACAATGCCTGTCGAAAGTGCTGACATTCCAAGCCATCATACGATGCGGAAGGTGGACAGGTTTTTTAGCCAGTCAAGCCAAGCAAGGACTGCAATACATGAAGCGCTATATTTTCGCGTTTAAGGCCCGCGAATAGCCACAAATGCTGCATTTCATAGCATTCAGAGCCAGCCAGGGAGGAGGGGCAAAGAAAACAAGCCAGGGCCCACCTTTGGAAATAAGCACCTCACAAGATCTCAGGCTGGTCCTTCGCAGTGGTGATTTCGACTCTGATTGTCGCGGTGGCATGCTCAGGGTATTTCCATCTCACATCACAGCGTGATTGGACATGTTTTCTGATGGACCTATATGATGTCGTGTACGAAGTCCTGAAAAAGCCAAGCAGATGGCCTCATAAGATGTGACATCAACGGGTAAGAGTCCGTTGGCAACTGCGCCGGAAGACTGCCCTTAAGATAGGGACGCGCGGAACCACGCGGATTGCTGGTGCGCTCCAGGCACTGCCACCACTTCTGTGGCAGGCACCGATGGGCGCGCCAGTTCCTCGGAGACACCCTGCTGAAACCTGTTGAACAATCCACTGTCCTGAGTACCGGCGAAGGTCGCTGTACCGCGCGCTGGTTTGGCTCATCACGGCATCCCCATGTGCGTGCGGCACCAAAGCCTTTTTTCTATTGGAGTCCAAGGATTCTCTCCGCTCCGTTGAGAGCAGCCCCAAGATGGCTAGTCCAAGGTTGATTCTGGCGACGCCTTTGGTGTACGTCTCTGGCCTCTCTGTAGCTGCGGCGAATGGGGTGCGCACTCCCAGCCTCGTGAGCATAGCTCATGTTCATGTTGCTACAACACTCTCCAAGGGCACATGGCTCACTGCATGGCTCACAATAGCTCTCACAATTTCTCTGACATGACTGGAGAGGTACTCCTGAAGGGGGGCCGTACTTTGGATGCTTTGGCGGTCGCAAGCGGAGTAGCGTTCGACAAGTGCCAGGCCTACATATGCCCGCATGTTGTTTCCGCAGCAGTGCCTTGCCGTTTTTCCAAGGACCGGGACACTTACTACTGGCACTCCAGTTCTGCAAAGTGTGGAGGCACACCCTCTTCGCAGAGCAGAGGTGCCGAACATGACTGAAGCTGCGCCTGACAGGAAGTCATGGACAAGTCCGTGCAGACTCAGGGGGAGAAGGCAGTGGACCATGTGGACCCCTTGCTTTGCGCTGCTTCCCTTGGCACAGGTCCCAGCAAATTCCACGTTGACAAAGTGAGTGAAGTGTTGTCATACATTGCGAGGCATCCCAAGAGTCTTACATGCCCTGTGCCAAGCGGTAAGGACGCCTCTCAGTTCATCCAGTATCAAGGGCAGTCGTGGCCGCATTGCCAAAAGGAAAGACTCCACTTCAGGTGGGAGCATGTGTGAGCATCTAGTCCCGACGAGAAACGGGATTTCATTCTGCACTGTATGCTGCAGGTTGCAGGTTTCCAGATGGTTGCCGGCGCTGGTGTCACTGGAGACCTGACGCCAAGTGAGGACGGTTGGCATCCCAAGCACGAGCTGCTGCATCATTTGGCAAAGAATGGCAAAGATGCTGCTGGGCGTCGTAGCTCACATGGTCCCACTGAAGGGCTCAATTCATACTTTGAACTCATGTTTGAGATGCTTTCCGACTGGCCGGCAGACGTGCTAATTCGCCATCCATAGCTACACGAGGTCACACTTGCCATGCCGCAGGGGGCTGAGCTTGCCCCGTGGTTGAGACACTGCTAGCAGCCAAGGACCTCAGGCACTACAAGCTTCAGAAACTCTATAGAAGTGGAAAGTGGCAAGAGACCTTGCAAAGCTCAGCAATTCCAAGGTCATGGGGCGTCCTGAATTTGTCGCCGGCCATTTGGAAGGCCTAAGTCGCGACAGATACTAGCTGAACAGTTTCATGAAATGCTTGACTTGCTACCCCGTGTCGGCGCCGCACATGGAGTTTGTCCTATCACAGTGTTTGTGGTGTTCGGATGTGCTTGGCACCTTTGTTCCGTCGGGCAGGAAGTGCGCAGTGCAGCCCCGAAGCAGACTCAGCTTCAGCCTCCAAACTCTGAGCATACTGCATTCATCTGGAAGATGGCCCACCGCATCGAAACCTTCTGTTTTGGTCCATCCTTGGGGGGTCGATCTGCTTTGGAGCTTCGCCCAGGCTTTGGTGCAGGCGCTGCGCTCACGAACAGTCAAGGCAGCAGTGGCATATTGCAGCCATTGCAGAGCCAGTACAGAGCCATTGCAGAGCCATTGCAGATGTGCACTGCAGAGGGCGTATGTAGGCAAGGTTTCCACAGCCAGCGCCTAACCGGCAGCATGCTATTGTGGTGACCGTGAGGGTGCCAAGACTGGCAGCGTCGTGATGGCCATGGCTCTGCAGGAGCCAAATCAGGAGAAGGCTTGCTCTGCGGAAGGGGAGAAACTCCGTAACTTCTTTGTGTGAATTCCTTGAAAGGCACAGGCCTGGCTATTCCACTTGGAGGAGCCACGTGAGTGTATTGCGAGCGTGTCTTGCAAGCGTGCCCGCATTTTGCCCGCGCTCGCTGCAATGCAATAATGTCGGAGTATGTCGGAACTTCATTCGGAATTTCAATCTCAAGTTTATCATTCATTCCCATTCGTTGTTCTAGTTGACAATATGGGACGGGTTAAGATGGGCCCCTAGAACAGATTCCGTGCTGCAGTTAAAGTGCCTTCACGGTATAATGGCTCAGCGACAGACAAAGGCTTGCACATCCAGAAGAACAATGTTTGACATGCCTTGCCCTAGCTAGCACGTGCCCTTCCTGATGCTTTGTCTGGTGTATGGTTGCGCATGGTTCTGTGGCTCGCGGGCTCTGTGAAGGTCTACATGCAGAGTGTATTACTATGACGAGTCCATAAACTCCTCAGGACAGCGTCAAAAAGTCGGCACATGATGTCGTGGCAGAGGCGGAACACTTGTAGTTGCTTGTCCAGGACTGGCACTGTTGCTATATAAAAAAACACAAAGCGCACTGAGATTGGTTTCGGTGATACTTCTTCACGTGGGACTGCGAATATGCGGCCCTCCGAATTTCAGTAGGAATGCCACAAGTATCTGCAAGTACACTATCGGGAGCTTCAGCGACATGTAGCACATCTCGCGGTGTTGTACGTAGGCTAATGCGAGGCCGCCTCGGCAAGGGTACCCAGGCTAATGCAGGGTGCAGGGTTCATGGGCGGGGCTTACAGTTCTCAAGGGGAAGGGGTGCTGCTGTTGGAGGATGTGCTTATCGTTGGCATAGGGGGGGGGGGGGGGGGGGGGGGGGGGGGTGAGGAGGGGGAAAACAGATTTTCCTTCTCAGCGGCTGGACGCTCGTCGGCAAGGAGGAGGTACCCAAACGGGCCAACAACAACAACCCGCCGCGCAAGAAGGAGGTGGGTACACCTTTGGAAGGTTCCCTTGACTAGGACCGAAACGCCTCAGGCCTCCGGCCTCGCGGATTGAACATTGATGGAGATGCCGCAATGCGCTGACTGACATCTCAGATCTCTGGAAGATCTAGAAGCGATGACCGTTATGAGGATGATGAACACACCCCCTGATTGTTCACATGTTTAAAATAAATAGAGATCCAAAATACTGGACCTGCTCCATCCTTGTGACAGTTGACATCTGTGAGACGTCTGGACATCTAACAATGAGAACAGTCACGAGGATGGTGGCCCCGACCCGCCCCATGCCTCTGACTGCTGGCACTTTGGACGTGAGTCACGAGTCCCTTTTTATGGGTTCATCCTCCGGCTTAGCCGCCCTTGGTGTTTTTGAGATCCTTCATCTCCCGAGAGAATCGGCAAAACATCCGACATGAAGCCTGTCCAAACCCCATCATGCGAGCATCGTGTTTGCAAAATGGGGGGGGGGAGGGGGGCCGGGCCGCCCAACCCCCCCGCTGTTTCGAAGCCGTCCAAGCCCCATGCGAGCGGTGTCTGCAAATGGGGGTCGAGCCGCGCGAGCTTGCTTCCAAACACAACATAAATCCTGACCAAACCACAACATGCGAGCATCGTGTTTGCAAATGAGGGGGGCTGCACCCCCCCATGCCCCCCGCTGTTTTAAAGCAGCGCGAGCTTGATTCAAAACATATGCAGCCTGTCCAAACCCCATCATGCAAGCAAACGTGGTGCCATACCAAAGGTAAGCGTGAACCGCAGCCGCGTGTACAGGTGGGGAGCTAATCTTTTTGTTTCTTACGTACGCTTTAGCCTCTGGAGTCAACCTTTGGTTTCTCACGCATCCTTTAGCCTGTTAACCCCTTAGCCCCGGTTCAAACTCAAAAATGAAAAGAATGCCCCAAACAATCAGAAATAGGCATGTCTTATAAAGCGATCACAGGACGCCCGCAAACCACAAAAAGACCAAAAGAACAAAAGAACTATGAAAGACGACTCTGCAACCTCCGATCCGCCTTTCCTCTTTTCTGGGGTATGCCTGGGTTTTGCGTGAGCAGAGTCCGCGCATGCGGCCATGATCAAACAATAGTGTGCAAATGCCACAGTCCTAACACATGCTAACACCTAGTTTCGAGGGCAGGTCCGACAGCGTTCACTGTCCCAGCGCTCCGTCGACTAGTGATAAACTGACACTGAGCTCTAGCACTCGCATGCTCGCAGCAGGTGGCTCGGGGAGGTCCCGCCAGTTGCTCAGCAGATTGTGCTACGTATGCTGCGTGGAGACAGCAGGACGCAGGTAGATCGACAGTGCCGCTCCTTGATATTGTGACTGGTGACGGCTTGGGGTGGCTTGCTGTCGGCAGACTTCCGGTGCCGGGGATCCCGATAGGGTTTCGAAGCATATCCTGTTGCTCATGCTTGTTGTGCCAGTATTGCAACCTGCCAAAGTGTCGGCATGTGAAAGCCCAGGTGTACATGCTCACTGGCGATCGCCATTCCAACGCGATGAGCGTCGTTGATCAAGTAGGCGGCTTGCGCGGATGCAAAGCCTACAAATCGTTCAAAAGAGTGAAGGTTTGATCGTTGACGGGCCCCACTCAGCCAGGGACTCGTCTAAAGTTCAATCTAAGGGCTAACCTTGCTTCCGCCGACCCCGTAAAAGCCGCTAGGCTCCAGGCGCACAGCACCTGTGGTGTGAAGGGCGGGTGGCTGGCCGGGGGATAAGGATAGAGGATGGTGACGCAAAAAAGAGAAAATGCGGGGTGGGGGGCGGGGGGGGGGGTACTTCAAATCAGACCAGGCTCCCTCTACAACTTGAGGTGTTTTCCTTAATCAAGAGTTTTGGAGTCTCTGGGGAGTTCCAGTGCCTTTCCCCCCATTTCGGTGTTGCTTGGCATCTGTGTCACGCTGCCCTGCGAGGGATGACGGTGAGATGGTGTGGTCAGGTGGCAGATGATGTCAAGAAACATTGATGTTGGGGGCAGGGGGGTCGACGAAAAAAGCGCTTCTTTTGGCTCTGCTTCTGGGCGCAGAAAACCCCGTCGATCTTGCCTTAGCTGAGAGGCCCCCAAGTGTTACTGCTCGAAATGGCAGTCTTGAGGGGAGACTTAGCGGGGTAGGGTTGGGAGGGGGGGGGAGGGAAGGGGCACTGCGTGAGAGCGGAACAAGCCCTTCACTGGCGCTCACTCCCAGCGAAATTCGGGAGCTTTCCTTGTCAGGTTTCATTGGAGCAACTCGGAATTGCAACAAACTCCGCTCAAAGCACCACAAAGCCAGCCCCACCCAAGAACCATCTTCCTTGCTCGCATGAAGTTTAAGGGACAGGGTGGGAATGTTCGAAGAGGTAATATGTTTTCAATGAACTGTGAGTTCCCGTGCTTTTGACACAGCATCAGAGGTTCTGCGTGCGCCAAATGCGGGCTAAGCATGCGAAATAGACACGAATAACATTGCCGTCCAAATCGCGTGAAAAACGAAGCTGGTGCCTGCCAACGTGTTTGTGCGGTGGTAGCACGGACGTAATCATCGTTCGGGCATGGATGCTTTGCCAAAAAAGCACAAAAACAACTTTGTAAAAAACGAGCTGCGAAATTGACGAACACTCAATTCTTTTTTAGCGGGCAAGTTGGGACTGCAGCCACCTCCGCTGAGGTCCCCTGCATCGGCATTGTCTCGTTCAATGTAGCAAGAGCCGAGCGTGTTCTGAGATGTCACTGGCACAACAAGCGCCTCGCGTCAGGCGCAGCCAACTTTGACTCAGTGCATGCCGACTTGAGACCAGAAGACAAGCTTGCAAAGGCGCAGCAGCATGAAACCGCGATCATGGCAAGGGTTGAGCTTTCAGGAAACATTGCATTGCGGATTCGCAATTCGACATTCGTGAGAGATTCTGATACGCAATTTCGAGCAGGTGAAAGAGTACGACGCGCTCCTTCGAGAGACATCTGGAAAGGGTTCGCCAGGATCCAAGCTTTCGCAACAGTGCATGGTTCGAGCAGTGAGTGCCATCAGCTTTTTAATGACCACCGCCAAGCAAGTGTGTGACAAAGACGAACTCCTTGCCAGAGTCGTTACCAAGGCTTGCTCGTAAAGCAGTGTCAAAACATCGTGGAACCATGCTCCGTAGCATGTGTAGAAAGATATGAAGTGTGGGAAGAGCGAATGTGTTGCGAGATGTAAAAGTCCAATCGTCTCGGACAGTTTGAGGGGCTCGTACCTTGGCTTTACTCTCAGACACCCCTACATCTACTGCAGGTGGCAAGCATGGCTTCTCGGCTTCCTCGGTGTGTCCATGGGTGGGCTCGTCATGGTCGGAGATGGGATCAATGATGTGCCGGGCTTAAACAACCAAGCTTGAGCCAGGAGCTGTGAGTATTCGCCAACCAGGCTCCTGCGCTGGCTGCTGCGACTGCTGGAATTTCCTTAGAGGCCAGACTCCCAGTTTGTCTGGACGTGTGGAATCTCGTGGAAGACTGCGCCATCGTCTCACGTCCCCCGTCGAATCTGCAAGCACCTTCCAGGCGCAGATGGACGGAGCGTTGCAGAGCAATGCTGTCGAGGGATCGGATGTTGGGCTCCCGTTGATTCCAGAGCATGGCTACGAAGCAAGCATCTCAATTCATTATGTACTTGTCAGTGGATGCAGGTGTTGATACTCAGACGCACTGGTGACCCTGGTGGAGACAGCGACCTGAAGCGCGTTCGATTCCCAGCGATTCCGGCAGCCTCTGCACAATTTTTGGTTCAAGGAAGCCGAAGCCAATACTGACAGTCGTTGTGGTTTGTGCTATGTGGCTCCAGAGCTGTCTACGGACAGAGCTCTGCAGAGGTGGCTTGGCTTCTCGCTTTGGCCAGAAAGACGAGGACAATCATCACTCAGAACATATGCCCGGAGCTCACAGCCTCTACGACATGCGCAGGTGCTACTTTGCAACTGTTTTTGACACATTGCCGCGGTGCCAGGTCTTGCTCTTGGATCCATACTGGGTGCGTGGCTTTGCGAGCTTGAAGATGCTGCTCGCAGTTGCTGCGGTTTTCTACTGATACTGCTGCGCTACTGACTGCGCTACTGCTACCATAGAGTTCTTTGAGACATGTTGGGGATGCCTTTGGTTCATTTCGGTTCAACCTTTTTGCGCTTCCCACTCCCCGCCCAGCGCAGCACAGTGCAGATTCGGCCCGACCTAAGAATGCACAGCTGCCACGCCAACATCCACTTTCGTCCTGATTGGACAGAAGACGCAACCGTACACAGCAGTATGACTGCAATCTCTTCTCGATAATTGTAACACTGGTGGCCAGCTCTGCAATTGTCATGATGGTTCGGTGTGCGTGTCAGTGAATGCGTGAGTGCAGTTACACCCAAAACAAGCAAAGAATGAGAGGATGCAGGGGAGAAAGACCTGCGTAGTCATCAAGCGAGCATACAAAGATAAACCGCTCTCGGCATTCTGGTCAGGGCAACAAGTATATGCCAAACTGCCAAACTGTTGAAGGTTGGGAAGTTCAGTGAATTCAAGCGAGAAGTGATCACCCTCCGAAAAAAGAGAAGGGCTTTCAGAAACAAGGTTTGGCAGAAGCAAAGTGTTGTGTTCAGAAAGGTAGCGTAAATAATTCTGGGGCAGCGTTGTGGCGCTTACAGCGTAAGTGGTGTCGTCTGCTGCTGCTGCTGCTGCTGCCGCCGCCGCCGCTGCTGCTGCCGCTGCCGCCGCCGCCGCCGCCGCTGCTGCTGCTGCTGCCGCCGCCGCTGCTGCTGCTGCCGCTGCTGCTTCCGCCGCCGCCGCTGCTGCTGCTGCTACTGCTTTTGCTGCTGCTTCTTTTACTGTTGCTGTTTTTTTCCTGTTGCTGCTCTGCTGTTGCTGTTTGTTTTTTTCTGTTGCAGCTGCTGTTGCGGCGGCGGCTGCTGCTGCTGCTGCTGCTGTTGTTGTTGTTGGTGGTGGTGGTGGTGCTGGCTTAGTGAACTCAAGCGACTCCAGGATTCCAGTTTTGCAAGCTCAGTTGCAAACCCTCCAGAGCCAGGAGCACCGTGACGCTTGTCACAGGAATGCCTCTGTGGCTGGGAGTTCTGCTGCACGAGGGCACTACTATGCTGGTGGTGCGCCTTCCCCGCTACGGTACATGGAAGACACGTTCAGGTAGTTACTAGTACCACCGGGGTTCAGTGTCAGGCTTGGTTGGGCTTTTTGAGTATTGCATGACTTTGACATCACCGCCCAGCAGGGGTTAAACAGCCTGCGCCTGTTTTCGAACATGCGGACAACGCCGCAGCCTCAGCGGCGGGTCTTCAAACTTCCGAAAAGACTGCAGAGCCTCAGCATTGAGACGTTCCGATGGGCACGACACGTGTCATGAGGTGGCGTCCGCCCTTCAGCCGCTTTCGGAGGAAGCGCTGATACTCGTAGCACATGACTGAGGGGTGGACAATCTCAATAGTACTTCGCTTCCTTTGCTGCAGCCTGACCAGCAGGCCTCAGCTCAAGCATTCTGCACGGGTTTTCCGGACACCGCAAGCGTTTGCTGGTGAATTCGCTGTCCCGTAGCAAAGCTACTACTGGCGTGTGCCAACATTCCATTAAGAATGTAAGCGTCAAAAAGACGTCAAACATTGAACGATGTTGAAAGCAAAGCTGGCAAGAAACTCAAGGAGTCTTAGCCGCGTGTATTATGCAGCCTTGAAGCTTTGTAACCTTTGTTATGCCTGTATTCCCGATGTCCAGTGTCGCAAGTGCATCGCAGGTGGGGCGTACCCTCAGGACATGAAAAATCAGGCAGGCTTGTGGGCCAGGGTTACTGTAGACAGGCGGAAACCAATGCCACCATCATGAGATATCGAGGCTATGATAACATCACTATAACATCGAAGGTTGTGGCAAAGCGGCAAAGCCAGAGACTTGAGTTGGAGATCTGAGGTGCAAGTACTGTCCATGGCAGATGCTGCCGCCCTCTTAGAGGAAAAAGCAGAGGACGAGAGCACAGTCACAAGTCGCTGTTCCCGGTTGTCCAGCGCAACTAATGGGAGAACACGACTGTGCCCACTTTGCTCACAATCTGGCTTCCTCCTTTTGTAGTGCACCGTCAATAGGTTGTTGGAATTTGTTGGATGAAGGTGTTGAGTGAATGGTGCGAGATCATTCAAGTGTAACTTGAGAGTTCATCCCATCTGATGTGTCTTCAAGCACGATTCAGTAGAAGAGCGCCGGACGCAGCGAACGAGCGACTGTGGTGGGTAGGTGGTGCCGCGTCTCTATACTTGAAGACGGCTCCCCGCTCGGCAGTTGCGCAAAGGGGGGTCCTGCCAAAGGCAGGAACGGCAAGAACGACAAAGCCAGGCCATCCGTACCCGACATCCTCGCTCCAACCGCGTTTCGTGGTTGCGGGATCGGGTGCATGGACATTGAGAGGCCTAAGCATCCTCGCCAAGGGGCGAGATGCTTGTAGTGACTCCTTCTGCGGCATAACACAAGCGGCAGCTCTCTACGAGTTCTCCACCTAAACGCCGGCCTCCTCGTTTTGCAACACCCAAGAGGCCCACGAGGCAACCACGAGGCACCACGAGAGACACAAGGGAGCATGATTGCCCATCTTGCACTGTGGGTGAAAAAAGCGTTGACAGAAATCAGCAAGAGCGAGCTGAGGTCCGCGATTGCAATAAGTTCATGTCCATGCAAGAAATGTCCAGGCACGGCGGCTGTTGACCATTGATGCACGAATTAGCGCTACTACTTGTTGACAAGTGAAGGAAAGGCCAAGACTCCAAACACTCACGGAGGCTGAATTTTCACGAGCCCATGCGATCGGGTGAAGGGATGTGGCAGAAGGCAGTGCAGGGAAGACAGTGCAGCACACAAGACGAACAAGAGAAACGAACTGCGCTGCAGACTTTGGATTTGGGACCGGGTGTGAGGTCACAGCGGTCACTGTACGACGTGCCCAGGGGCAGTTCTGATCTCCTTCAGCTTCCTCGAACATGCCCGGCTCAACACCTTCAACTTATTCTTTGTGACACATTTAGCTAATGAACATGGCTGCGCGATCCTACCTCAGGCTGTTTGGCAGGATCCACTTATGGTTCCATTGGCTCCTGTAGCAAACGGCCGCTGTGCTGCAAAGGATTGCAAAGGATTGCAAAGGCGTGGCATGTTTAGCAACGTGTTCGCAACGTGTTCGCAACGTGTCAGCTGAGGTTGGCAGTTCCAAGGGACCATGCCCGGCAGAGCGGCTCGGAGAGATAAGCCAATTCTGCATTTCTGGCCGAGCCGCAACACTAAGAATATACAGCGACTTTAAAAAGCGATGTTGGAACGCCTGAAAGCTAATTCAACATGAAGCCTCCGCAGTCAAAAGCAAGTTAGGGCATGTCATAGTCCCTTGAGTGGCACAATTTGTTGAAAGCTCTTGGTTTCAAGCAGAATCTGCGCTGTTGATGTGATGCCACGCTGAGGAGGTGAAAGGGCTTCGATATGCCGTGAACAGTCGCTGAGTCGGACCTCCAGGAGCACTCAGCAAGCACTCAGCATGTCTGAGCTTGCAACGCCTGACTCGGCCGGACAGTTCAAGAAGAATCAACTGTTTTTCCCGTCGAAGGCCACAAGCTGCCTCGGAGCTTCTTGTTGGAATAGGTGGGATTCACGGTGGGATGCATGCTGATGCAGTGTTCACTGTGAATGGGAGGGTGCCATCCTTTCCTGCACATGCCTTGCTGTTATGTGCTGGTGAGGACCTCATAATAGGAAGCACATGAGGCACAACATAAACAACAGCACATATCAAGAGCATCCAACAAGCAGCCGGATCTGCCACACACATCAATATACACGACAGAAGCATACAGCGGGCGCAAGCTTCTGCAGCACTTCCCACCGAAGCCGAGATGTCCCAAGCTTAGAGCAGAATGGAATTGGGACAGACAGGGAGTCTTGATCTCGATGGGTCTTGCTGCTGCCACGTCAAGGCCCCATGCCACTTCAAGGCAAGCGGAAGGGACCGGTCTGACAGCTGGGGTCAGGCGCTGATCACTTTGCTGAATGGACATGGTGGGCATAAACCGTGAACGTATTTCGCGTGCGATCGCGCGAGCGGTTGGTGTTTTGTGCATCTTGTGCTGCTCTTCCTTGCCAGAACCTCTTCTCTGCTTCATACCGCGGGTCTGCGAACACTCAAGCATTAAGTTGCTAGAATATTTTGAAGGTTTTGGGTCCGCGAAGCAGAGCATACAATCTGGCTTCTGATGGTGTTGATGTTCAAGTGGCCTGAGATCACTGACATCTTGGCGAACTGGGATCAGGTCCTGCAGGTCACGAGTGAGTCCTGTGAGTCTTGTGCTGCATTGCAGCAACAGCTTTTTTTAACGAGTTTTACCCCTGGTGCAGTCTTTGGATCGAGTGCAAGCTTACACAGCTGCTCGCACCAATGAGACTGCTACACGGCTGGAGCCTTGGCAAGGCCTGTTGCTGGCACGTACAGCGGCACGTGCGCCCCTTCAAAAGCACGAGTCTTTTTTTTGGCACGATCCCGAGGCTGACAGAGATATGTAAAGCTGAGCGCTTGGGCCCTCAACATCCTTCAACGCTGCAATTGAGCCTCGTTTAGCCACACGTCAATTTGGCCAGCCGAGGTCCGCCTCTTTTTGGCGAAAGTTCGGAGGCTCTGCGATGGCAGGCCCAGCAGAAGAGGTCGCCAAGACGGAGAGAGATGCGAGGACAGTAGCCAATGCTCAGCAGGTGTTTCTTGCAAGCGTTGGTGACCTCTGCATTTCAAATAGGCTTTCCTTAAGAAAATGTTGTCTCAGGAATGCTGCCTAATTTGGAGCAGGCGCGGGTCAACCAGCCGGATGCCATCACGCACCTTCGTGCCATGCTTTCAGGAGTCGGCCGCTCTGGCAGCTCATCAAGCTACAGACAGGACTGCAGGCACAATGTGGGGGGGGGGGGGGGGGGTTGCTGTAGAAAATTCGGGCAGCGGCAGAGGATACACATGCCTTGTTAAATGAGCATCGTGACCCAGCTCTCCGATAATGCGTATTGCCGCTAGTAATGCCCATAAAACGAAGCATGGGACATGGGGAAGGGGATCGTTACCAGAGTTGTGGGAGCTGTGGGCTCGGATAACATAGTTGGAACATAGCTTATGACTCCACGGCTTGCAAGATCGGGATCTGCGGCAGCCGCGGCAGATGCAGCAGCTCCTGGAGCGCTTCGAAAAACACCTTGCAAAGCAGGCAAGTGCCCACAGTCCCTTTTGGTGCGTAGTTGAAACATTGAGTGCCAAATTCCTCCATTTTTTCTGCAAGCCCGGGTTGAACGTGACACGGCTTCAGGCAAGGGAGCAGTTGCTGGAAAGTGTCTTCGCGTTGTGGCGAGAGGCCCGCCCGCTGAAGCATATGTCTGCAACGTAAGAGCGGTGAACTGCTGACCTTCACGGTCACGACTGATATGTCGCATAATTCGACGGCGCCCAGCTGGAAGAGCTCAATGGCAAAAGGTATGCAGTCGAAGACGGACAGAAGACAGCCACAAAGAGGGCAAGGCGCGCAGCCAGCATGCAGTCCTTTTCGGTTTGCAAGGCTTTGCATCGACGAAGAACGCATGAGGCTTGGGTGGACCGTGTCACGGCGTCCCTGGAACAGGAGCGTCAAGCTGTGTCAAGGTGCCATGGGAGTGTGTGCCATGCATATGTATATAAGCATGCATACATATCCACACGTAGTCCACACATGTTACTAGCATCTTCTAGCGAATGAGTCAAAGCTTGAGTTCTCAAATGGCAGGCTCTGCAGGCAACGCCGTGAACGTTGTGAGGCGGCTTTGCGCTCCTGGCAGGAGGCACCTCTCCCTCCTCTCCCTCCTCTCTCTCTCTCTCGCGCTCTCCCTCCTCCTTATGTATATAGTATACGGTTCCTGGGAAAGCATGTATGTTTCCCTTCGAGTTTTTTCGCGCTGGTGCCTCACAACATCTCTGCACGTGCGAGGTTCAGCAGCGACTACTGATCAGTAGCGTGTTCAACGCAGCTTGGACAAGGTTCAGAGTAGAAGCCATTCAGCATTTGTAATGATGACAGCAGTGCTTGGTGTTGGGCTCCTGCATCACAAGCATGGTATAGTATAGCACGGCGCATCACAGCGAAGCATTGGGCCATTGAGGCATGGACAGCGGTTCAGAAACATGCTTGCGACGAAGTGCGGGAGCTGGCACATCTCAACCAGGCCACTGGCTGCAGAATTGTAGAAGTCGGTACTGTACACAACGAAAACACACCTGCCAGGACGAGGAAGTCCGCAAACTACGCAGCGGCATGCTGAGGGAGCTGCTACCATATGACTTGCTTCAATGTCCAGAGAGTGCATGGATGTGACGCGAGCGCAATGGAGTCAGAAGGCAGAGCCAATATGAGCTGATCCATCCAACCTGCAAGCTGCAAGGTGAGCTGGAAGTATCAAGGGCTGCTCAAGAGGAGACCGAGGCGCTGCGGCATCTTGTGGCATGCTGCAACGTCTTGCGAGGTTTGCACGGCCAAAGATTAATTGACTGCAAGCGCCTGCGATGTGGTATGTGAGGGTTGAGCTGGTGGGGTGTCCAAAGGTGTCCCAGGGGGGTCCTAGTTGGCGACAACCGCTTGCTGGTATGTCGCCAAAGTGGGAGCCAGCTACGATGAGTCCTGACCGCAACATGAGGAAGACCCTTGGGCAAAATCATCCAAAGAAGGAACCAGAGGTGGCGAGACAGGCAAAATTTGCTGGCAACACAATCCAGCAACGAAGAGCTGGAGGTTGACATACAGAGACGCAAGCGGGCTTCGGGCTTCGGACTTCAGACCCCAACTGCGCGAAACCGCGAAGGACGGAGTTGCGCTTACCTCCCCTTCCGCAGATCGGGTTGCGCTCCCTGAAGCGACTTGACGGCCGAGGCGAATGTAGCACAAAGCGGCCTGCGCATGGCCTGCCAGACCCCGGGCGGAGGCAGCGTGGGGTTCGGGAAAAGCCTCTCTCGTCAGCAATGCTACACAAGAGGTCCATAGGAGTCCATAGTCGACAAAAGCACCCCACAAAGGTTTCAGGAGGTCCGAAGGGGTCCACTTGGGTCCATACCATGGAAGGGTGGTTTCACAGCGGTCCTTCAAAGGATCCACTTCCGCTTGCGTCCATAAAGCATCCATAGGCCGTCTCCCAAGTTACGATTTGACTGCCCCTGTGGGGCTCCAGCGGAGTATTGCTTGTACAACTGTGTAAGTATAAGCATCACGGTCCTGCTCCTTGCGCGAGCTTCACCGATTCATCGTCGACGAAATGTTCCACGTGTCGGATGGGCAGCATGCGCCTCCCCCGATCCCAGGTTCAAGCCGAGGAGAAACGAAGGATCGATGATGTTCGCCCCCTCCAGCCCATCGAGGGTGGCCAGCATTGCCTTTTGGAAAGGCCGGCACGTATCAGCAGGAATACCGGCAGGAGCAAGCCGAAAACGAAGGGCCCGCTGCCCACAATCCGGCAAGGGAGTAACCAGGCAAAAGAAGGACCTTTTTTGGGGAGGGGTCGCCTGTTGGGGCCTTCGAGAACGGGCGTCCTTCCCTTTTGTGGTCGTGAATATTTGTCAAGCTTTGTTAGTGCGAGGCTCTGGCAGCTCAGCGTTTGGAGTTCCTCACCAAGGCTGAGGAGGCTCCTTGACACCCCGCGTTTGCGGCAAGTGGAAGTGCATTCATTACTCTGAGAGTGCCAGAGTCGTATAGCCATCTCAACTTTCAATAGTCATGAAGGAGGGAGAGAAGATGAAGGGAGAGATCCTCTGGCCCCTAGAAAGAGAGAAAAGAGCGCTCAGCTCATCCTGTCAGAGTTTTCTCAACTAAGGCAGCAGAGGTGGCTAGAGCCCAGACACGCAGCTTGCAAGCAACGGCCGAACAGACAACAGCCGAATTGCTGACTGCCAGGACTCAGTTGAGCGAAGCACAGCAGAACCTCTGCAAAGCTGAAGCAGAGCTGACTGCTGCTCAACAGGCCTGCCACACTGCTCAGGAGCAGCAAACAGCTACTGAGAAGCAACTTCTGCAGCTACGAACAGCTTCCTCCAGGGAGAGCGCATCCGAGTCGCACAGGCTACTGACGGATTTGACAATCAAGTTGGCACAAGCTGAAGCAGATACTGCAGAAGCCAGGACCCACGCAAGCCAAAGCAATGCTGAGACGCAGCATTTGCATGCTGCACTGGCTGATGCACGACGTGAGCTGGAGATTGTTTATGGCCTCCTCTCGAACTCTGAAGGGGCTCATCAAGACACGCTGCGCCACCTCAAGGGAACCATCAGGGATCGCGAGCTTGCGATGGCACACTTGCGCCATCTTCTGGAAAGATTGCGTGAGCCGCCGTCACCCACGAAGGAGGATGAAGACCTGAAGAGGCGAGCAGCGGATACTCCCTCGGTCAGCACGCCTGGGATTCAGTCCTGCTTGAGCTTGCCGAGCCTCTCAACAGTGTCCTCCCCACAGAGCGTGCAAACGGTCAAGAGCAGGACAGGCAAAGATATCGAAGACCGCAAAAAACGGTGGAGTGCCAACTGGCACTAGCAGTGGGCCGTTTTCGGCTGCTACTCGGTCGATCGTTCCAAGGCAAATTCCATAATTCTGTCTTGCTTCCAAGTACTGCAAAGCATCACTTGGTTGCAGTGTCACTCATGCATACTCGACCTTATTTCGTGTGGAGATGTGCATGCACCTGGCATCTGATGCTTTGAGTGCCTGCAGCTGATCGGCTGTCACTCCGGTGACCGGTGAACGTTGGTTTGACAGGTGCCGTGCTCAAGAAGACCCTGCAGCTGCAGGCCACCTTCGAGCAAGGCCGGCGAGTAAAGTGGTCCTGAACTGCAGCAGTATTGCAGCTGCTCTGCAGGCTCGTGTGTGTGTGTGTGTGTGTGTGTCTCTGTGTCTGTGTCTGTGTCTGTGTCTGTGTCTGTGTCTGTGTGTGTGTGTGTGTGTGCGCGTGTGTGTGTGCGTGTGTTATGGATGTGTGTGTGTGTGTGTCGTATAAGTCGACCCGCGCCGCTCATGCACATCGAACAAGGCCAGCATTTTTCTAGTGAGTCTTTGGTTGAATCCAGGCTGCGGACAAGTTCAAGCTGTGATCCTGCACAAACTCACCAGAATATACTGCGAGTTCACAGAGCGCATGTTTGTGCATCAGCCAAGTTCGTCACAAACTTGGCGAAGCAGTCGTTCAACGATTAAGTGCTATGTGATGCAATTTGCTGTTTTTGTGAACTTGCAGTACTTGTAAGTAAATTCGATGTCTTTGTTCCTTGCATGGCTTGAGTTTTATGCACGCTTGCGAAATGTAATGGCGTTGATAAAACGGGCGACTGAGCCTAAAGGCACACGACAGCGCCAGCCCAAGTATTGCACATGATGGTATTTGCATGTCGCGCATTGGGCCTCTGCACGTTTCCTCGCTCGAGTTGCACAGTTGCATCACAGTTGCAGTAGCTCACCAGCTCAGACTTATAAACAAACCTTTGCAGTGGGGAGACAACATCTCAGTATGTGCAGCGGAGCGAGTCCGTAGCTTCATGGCCGCCGAACTCGTCCATTTCTGCACGCCAAAGCGACCACGACCCTATGTCTTGCGGCAAAGGTCGTGCCAGCCTCATCACTGTGAGAGATGTACAGCCGCCTGGGGATGTGCCAACATCTTTAGCCTTAAAGGAGAGAAGTACTTATGCCTGTCAAGCTAGTTGTAATCTATGTCGACAAGGACAATGGATTCGGGATGTTGTGTGCGGCCATCGTGCCATGACGACTACCGGAGGAAGCTGCGCCCTCAGGTGGCAGTGGATGCTGAGCAGTTTGATTGCAGGCTGCCCGTGTCTTATTCCTGCAATGCAAGCACGCGTTGCGTATTTGTAGAAGTAGTTGCTCGAGCGAACTTTGTATCTGTAGTGTCCCAGTGCTTCAACACAAAGACGCAGTTCTGCTAAACCGTCAGATGCTGCTCCTACCAGATTCAGGGGTAGGTTATGGTAGGTTCAGCATCGAAGGGTAGGGCCCTTCCCATCTCCGAGTGGCGTTCGTGAGGGTGGCATGTAAATGTGTTGTCCTGAATGTAGGCCTCCCCTCCGTTGTACACTCCCGATAGGATGTAGATGTAGTGGTAGGGCCATTGGTAGTTCGACTCATCCGACTCTTGCACATGCTTCTGCCAAGGCACCTGGGATGCTGCGTGGGGTTCCGAGTTGCCAGAAGCGGTGTAGGGTTCAAGCAGGTAAAGATGGAGGCTGGCAATGGCAATCAATGGCAGCATCAGGAGACTTCCAGTAAAGAACTGAAGACTCCCCGGCGCACTTCATCTACTCCAAAGCCAGGTTTTGCCTTTGCGACTTCCTCGAGACTGAGCTCTGCGCTTGGCGGGCTGTGTCAATCCTTAACCCGAGCTCAACGAATCTACAGCTTGAAGAAGTGAACACTACACTTTGCAACAACCGATAAAGGTGGTCAGATCTTCATCCCCTCCTGGTCACTGGCTGCAGCCGCGCTCTGACCTTAATAACTGGTATTTGTTGCCAGCTGATGTGGACCTTGAAGATTGTATTGGAGAAATGGTCCGGAAGGCTCACGCTGTTGTTTATTCAGGTCCCGCACATCATCGAACTTGGATCTGGAACTGGCTGGCAGCATTCTCTGAGCATCCGGTGCTGTCCATGCTTTCTCTCATGCTTTGTAAAGCGCGACTTGTACAATGTACAGATGTACACAGGCTTGGAATGACTTTGGCGCGGAATCTCGTGGCGAATGGGAGTCCTGGCAGCGTCTGCCTGACTGAGCAGGACCTTTGCTGACCACGTAACACCACAACGCTAACACCACAACGCTAACACCACAACGCTAACACCACAACGCTAACACCACAACGCTAACACCACAACGAAACACCACAACACCGCAACTTACCCGACTGTGACTGTTCATTCGCCTTGGCCCCAGCCGTGAGGCATCAGAGGATCACATAGGGACCCCTTGGTTCCCCTCGTCTAATGTTGCGTGTCCCCCCTGCTAAGCAACTGGGAACCGGGTTCCTCGGCTTGACCTAGGGGCAGGGGGATGCAGTGGGGGGGGGGGGGGGGGTGTTGCTGAGTTGAGCATGAACTGCATAGAAAACCAGCCATGGACCGACCCTAAAATCTTCAGGCGTGTTTGCCCGAGCTAGGTTGCAGTTTGCCTTGATTAGCATCCTTCTGCACCCAACGCGGCTTCCAGGATCACAGGACAGATCAACCAGCGAGCAGGCCGTAGCAGCTTTACGTCATCATCATTCACAAAGTCGAATACAGCCCTTGCGGGAACAGCTGCAGCAGCTGGAGCTCTCAGACAGGCAGTGGCAAGATTCCCACCCAAGGACGTGGATGGGTGAAAGAGGATGCGGGACAAGTGGCGGATAGATTGGCAGACCTACGGAGCCAGCAATACATGCAATACTTTGCAGTCGGCTTGAGCGGGATTGCGATCACAGCCCGTCGCCGAGGTGGAGAACTGGAGAACCAGCCTGGGGTTCGATCCGGGCCAAACGGCCAAACAGGGCAAGGGCAAGGCAAGGGAGGGCCCTCCAAGACTTATTCCAGGCAGTGCCACCTACTGTGACAGTCCGCAGGGCCCCCTGTGACGGCCAGATTTGCCCAGCACCGCTAGGCAACGCACGAGCTACCCGAAAAGTTGATACATTGGCTGCAACAAGCGTCGAGGCCACAGCGGCTCTAGCCAGATTCATTGGAATCCCAAATAGAATCAGGTGGCGGAGCGGCGGAACGCAACAAGTGCTGATCGAGCATCAGGCGACGTAGACGCGATCGGATGGGCAACTCCAGGCGGCCATGGGACAGCTCAAAGGCCAGCGTGGATGGAAGGCATAGATGGTCATAGATGGCATAGACGAGACAGAAGCGGTTGTGGCGCAAGCGGCGCATTCAGAAGCGAAACGCCTCACCAAATAACAGCAAACGGAAGCACAAGAAAGATTTCAGCAAGAAGGGGGAATCAGAGCAGATCCTTTGCAGAGTGCCTCCGAGCAAGTGCGAGCATGTCATTCTCTAGAAGCTCTCCGGCTTTCAGGGTTCCTGTGATAACCGTTTGGGGGATCCTGGGGCCCTGCGCGCACTCTTCAGGTGAGAAGGAAGGGTTGGCGCCCTCAGCAAATCCTAAGAGGGCCCAAGCCATGAGCAGGGCCCAGTGCTACTCGCTGGACATTGCTGTAAGACTGCTGTAAGATGTTTCTTTCTTCCTTCCGCCACATTCTGTCCAGATTGCCCTGTGAGATTCCACTCCTGGAAGGGTGGCAAAGCCAATATGTCAACGTGTCATCCTAATGTCAATGCAGTCCGGGGGGAGCATTTTGAGTCTACTTGTATGTATGAGATCTCTATTTGTTGGCTGGAGTATGAGCAGAAGATTCCAGGGCATGTGCGGCAAGGTCCAGGTGAAGGGCATGTATTGCATATACCGACCTTCCATGGGATTTGGACACTCTTGTACTGAGCGCAGGACAGTGGCGGCGCGGGGTGCTCAGAAAGCATTCAGCGCACACTGATGCACGTCGTATCTTGTGAGCTCATCTGACTCACTGGAGCTTCCGTTAAGTCTGGCGAATGCCGCATTTGACATCAAACCATCTCATGGGCCAGGGTATTTCCCTTGCTTCCTACCATGCTGGGCAACAGCCGGCAGACCAGAATACCCAGCTGTTTTGTCCGTAAAAGATGCACTCTTGTACAGGAGCGTCAGCTGGTTCAAACAGCATGTAGTTGGGCTGCGGGACGTTTCGCACGTGGGCTCTGGTGCCAGAACTTTGGTTTTTGAAGGTGTGTTTCGGCGCACTTTGGGTGGGTTGGAAGGGTGGGGCGGGTGGGGGACTTCGGACCAGCCTGGAAACCTAAACGCGAAACCTGCCTCCCCGAAAACCCGGCACCACCTTAAAGCACACTGCATGGCAAGCTGAAATCACCTTCAACCAACAAGCAAAATCCACAGAACTGTAAGCACCCAGAACCCCAGATTTCCGGATTTCCGGGGATAATGGAGTGCTTCGCGGGCATAGCATCGAAGGTCGCAAACTTTGTCAAGCGCTGTACATCTCAAAACCTAGCCCAAACCAGTTTAAGGAAACGCTGTTGTTCAGCATAGTGTTTTGGCATCTGGACGGGTGCAGTGCCTGCCACCACGGTTTCCTCACGAACGAAAGCCACGCGAGACAACTGCCTTGCCTGGAAGTTTGCGTTCACTCTGCTGCGTTCGATACCATCAGGTGCACTAAAGGCGAAGTAGGCGTTCCTTCGAGCTCGACCCGGTCCGTGTACCCGGGTGCCATCATGTATAGGAACCGCCTCAGGCAAGCTGCACAACAAACAAAGCAGAAGGGTGCATGCAAATAGCAGCAGCTGAAGAATCATGCCCGAGGTTTAACCTGGGCAGTACCGTTCAAAGCAGATCGGGTATGTGACATAATCTGCGGCAATTCACTAGTGACTCGGCGGTTGTTCATCTTAGTCCGACGCCTGAAAGCCGTCAATTTTGTCACAAGCCCCTGCTGTCGATTTGCTGAGGATGAAGAAGGTTGTTTGAAGAGTTTAGACAGACCGTGAGCTACTCGTATACCCACCTATGTGAAGCTCGTCTTCCGATGAATGCGGTCTGCGGACCCTCGTCGACGGTTGCTTTTAGACACTCCTCGGTCACCTACATATCAGCAAGCAAGACAAAGCCACCTTGGCCCTTTGTGCAAGGAGGTTCCCCAAGAAGCGTGCAGAGTGGAATGGCTCGACAGACTCCACCGTCCAGACAACATTTTACAACTGGGCAAGCATGTTTCCAGATCTTCCATCCACTGAGGCCATGGAGTGGCTTCAAGACAATCTGATGCAGAATGCGTGCTGCTTGCATGAAGCATTGAGATGTTGGAGAGAACTATTTGGAAAGGAGCTCGTGCAAGTGAAGACAAATCAAAGTAAAGTGAGGTGTCTTCCGGTGTTCCACTTTCTGCGGTCAAGTTGCAGGACTTGTTGCAGCTTTAGCGGTGCCAAGATTGCCCCATGTGGAGATTTGGGGAAGAGCTGATGCCCTTGCGTTTGCAACGCATAGCGCAGGAATTGGACTGGAGCAACTTCAAGGCTCCTGCCCCATCTTTGCCTGGAGCGCATACAGGGTAATCAGCAGACACAAAAGGCACTTTGTCTACCCAGGACGGCGCTTCAAGACCAGCCTTGCCGCAGCCACCTGTAGAAGAGAAAGGCATCTCGTCAGTGCTCGCATGTAAGTAAGCGAAGATGAAAAGTTTTGGGACAGGTCAAGCACAATGGGATCTCCTGATTGGCTCTGATCTGATCTACTCGCAGGCCTGTCAGTTGAGCGTGGATGCAACAGCTGCCTATTGCAGAATGTGCTCTTCACCAAACAGTCTTGCATAGGTGGTCAACGGAATTGAACGTTAAGCCTGAAAGCACTTGTACATCCTTGTCGCGCAGCAGGTTCAGCTTGGATTACATGATTACAAGTTGCTTAAAAAGGCATGTAGCATGCTTGTCAATCAAGTGCACAGCCTTCCACGGGCGGTTGATGCTTGTTTGGTGTGCCTTTAAAGGTGCAAACTGCCGGCATATGGTTTCTGACTTCAGTGTGGGCAACGGGGTGCACTACAATGGTACTTCTTAGTGTAAGGTATTGAATACGTCGGTCTTGGAGGCATTTGGCAACTCTCGCGTTCCTAAATGTGTTGCTGCCTCGGTTAACATCACACATGCAGGTTCAAAAGAAGCAGGAATTCGACCTGTGTTGCTAGGATGGTAATGGTTGGACACACATACATGCACACTCTTCAAAGAAAAGGAACTCAAGTAAACGCTGGATGAAGCTGGAGCGTGCCCTCCGCAAGCAGCTGCAGCCCAGTGACTGAAAAGCTAAGAGTGTCGAGCTGTGACCACCTTTCCGAAAATGGCTTAAGTTGCTTGAGTTGTCGTGGGCCATGACTCGAATTTTCTCTGTTCAACAAGGCAGGCGTGGAACTGCTTCCGCGAGTACTGAAAGAGTTTGCCAGGCAGCTGCAGCCTAAGTCGTGAAGCAGAGTCTGCTGTGTGTTTTGAGCTTCGGCGTCCTTTCAAAGTCAAACCTGTGAGACTGCAAATCTTCTCGCAGCGTGTTGCTGAGACTGCCGAGAGTTGTTTTCTATTGTCGGCTTCGGCTCAAGCTCAAATGTTCACAATGAAGAGCAGATGCGAGGGAGTGCCACTTCGAAGCCAATTGGAGTCGAGTTTTTGCTTTCTGTTGCGTGCTGGCAACCCATGAGAATAATCAGCAGGCTTCTAGCCACATGCATCAGTTGCGCAAGAGCGACTGCTGTACTTGTTCACCATCATTCCCATGCACAACTGCAGTCCAAGTCCGGCAAGGACAGAGATCACTTGACAGAAATGGTTGTGCCCGAGCCACGCTGCTGCATTTTCGCTACATCTGGCAGCCCATGGTAACAGTTAAGCTATGGCTCGATCTCAGCAGGATTGAAGCGCTAGGTACGTGGCCTGTGTGATTGTGAGCATGCATGATGTCATACTGAAGCTGTAGTCAGGGCACGGTAAGAAGATGCTGCTTGCCATCTTCTTACCTTCTGACTGCATCTTGCAAACCTGCATCGAGTGCTGCACTGCTGAGGACCCAAGAACAATGTCGGGTCGTCTCCGGGCCTTTTGCAATTGGGGTGCAGGTTTTCCTGGCTGCTCACCTCATTCATGCTTCAATGGCACTCGCAAGTGCTATCTTAGCTTGCCAGCATGAGAGATTGATCATGACTGCTCCAGGCTGCCATGGTCTTGGCAACGTGACTTGGACCAGCAGCTGCAAATGTTGCAGTTTTGCGGGTGAGCCGAGTTTGGCATCCAATCCAAAGCTCAATTTCTGTCCACTTCTTTTCTTCCACCGTCCACGTCAACATCATCAACAAAGGTTGCTGTACAAGCGCCACCAGGAGCACCCTCCACGAACGTGGCTCATTTGGCCCCTCAGAATTTACAAGAGTTTACTTTAACAGACCTGCGCGCGTTGTGTCAAGCACACCACGACATGAACCTTCACAAACAGCGAGGCTCATGGATATTTCCAAGCAGGCCGCGCTGAACATGCTTCACATGGCAAGCTGCCAAGAGCTGCCAACATCACCATCCCTGCAGGGATTTGCCATGAGTCTGCAGCACTTCGTCAATGTCGCGCTGGCAGCAACTTGTGCTGCAAGCTTCTCACTTCGGAGACTGTCTTTAGAGCCAGAATTGAGAAATAGAAACACTTGGTGCTTCTTCCAAAGCGCTGTTAGCATAATTCCGTTCCTAGAGAGCTCCCTCCTCAAACTTGATCGTCTAATCTGTGTTTTTCTCTGCCAACAACACTGCGGGGCAGTTGCCCCAGTTTTGCCATCCTGGGGAGCGCTTTTTTTGAGGCCTAGGACCTAGGACAAATGGGGAGTGGGCACTCGGACCTTTTTTCGACCAGTCTCCGCTCAAGGCTTGGAAGAGGAATTTTGGGTGAAGCGGGAGGCTTCTGATTGGACTGGGCTGGGTTCATGGGTGCGCAACGGGGGCCCGGAACGGGGGAAGGGGTCCAGTGGTGCACTTCTTGGCGTGATAGGGCACCAACTTATATCCCCTAGAGGCCTTGCGCTCACCCCGATCATTTCTGCCGAGCTCCAAGCGTGTCTTCGGGACTAGGTTTTGTTCTCATCAAGTATGAAAAGTTTGGATGTGTTGTTCGCCTTAAACCAACACAAACGCTAAACTTCCAACATCCCCACGGTTTCAAATCCAAGGGGTCTAGAGTTGCAGCTTGGAGGGTTAGGGCTTCGGGTTTGGGATTCACCTAAACTAAACCTTGACGCCTCAACTAGACCCTAAACCTTGAGCTCGCGGTCATCTGATTGCCTTTGGCAGATCTATCATTTAGGTCCCGCAGACTACTGACCCCTAAACCTTAGTGAGCTTTCGTCATCCCCTGGGCGCAAGTAGAACGTATCTCCATATATCTCCTTTCAGCCACGACTTCAGGTCATCTTTGCCTCCACGGAGGGAATGGCTGGCGAGTGCGTATGGCATCCTGGACCTGTGTAGGACAGATTCATAAGTCGGCGCTTGGCCGCGAATGACGAACGAACGTTTGTTCACTCTTCCATAATGTGCTTCTGTGTCGCAGCAGTGACCTGCAACCAGTCGCCTGTAACAACAAACAACTATGCACCATGAGTAGTGCTGCTCGGGCTGCTGGGGACAACTCGTGAATTGTTTCTGGCATAATGCAATGATGGAAGCTCCAAGCAGAACACGATCCCGAACTGCATATGATCCGCTTGCGAAAGTAGTCTCGCTGCGCATGCTTCCTCTGAAACCGATAGCGCAGGCCAGCGCAGGCCCTACATGTGAAATGTCGACGATGATGGTAATTCTGCGGGCAAATGTTGCTAAACGTGCAAGTCGCAGGCATACTCTGACTCAAGATAACGTACGGAACAAGAACAACATTGTGGGCAAATTTTCCTGTCCGTTTAAGCTTGCCGTAAGGTACATTAGCAACTTCATGATCACAGTTGTGGGAGGCCGCTGTGCAGCATGGCCTACTGCCAAGGGTAGGGTGTTGACCGTTTGGCGTAACGCAAGCATGTTCTTCGCAAGAAGGGACAGGGCTCGACGCCTGTGGTGAGGCATCAAGGTTGAATTTGTTCTTGAGACGGACGAAAGCAGATGTCATGACATGCGACTGGGGGTTGCTTCCAACTAAGGGCTGATTGTTCTGCCACTTGGTCAATCAGATAGTTGAGCTCACGGGTCGTGCTGACTTCGCGGGTTGCTAAAGCAAGCTGCTGCCGAGGACACTTTGGATGCGTTTTCATCGAATTTTTGTCGCCAAATATGGGCTGACATGGCTTCAAAGTGGCGAGCAGCCTGACTGCTACAGCTTGCATCAACATGACACGCGAGAGTTAGCAGCGTGCAATCCCAGCCCGTTCAAGTTCCAGGGTTGCAGTTTACAGCAGGAACAGTTCGGTCACGGAGCCAACAAATTGCCTGCGAGATGATTGATGCAGCCAGAGCGTATGCAAGTCACGTGGCGTGTCGATGAGGTACGGCAACCCGCCACGCATTCCAATTTGGCTGGTACCCTCCTCAGCGGGCGAAGTCGAGATGTTCCCAGAAGTCGACAAGTCAACCCACAGCCTGAAAGTCAGATTACGTACTGCAGAGCTGTTCGAAAAATGCGAGGCGCAAACCACATACTGGGGTTTTGTTTGCTGCTTAGAGAAGTTCACTGTGGCTGCTCGATTGCAACATTTCCTGCCACAGTTGCACCGTGAAGTTCTCACATCACAGACATGGTCCTTCCACCAGGCTGGACTGATTATTTATCCCTTCCACCGCAGCATTGATGCTGCGATCGCTCCGCTTGAAGTGCCCTTCAAGCCTTACCCGAAGACGGACTGGAATGGCTGATAGGGGGTTGTGTGCGTGCGTGTGTGTGTGTGTGTGTGTGTGTGTGTACATCTACATGAGGGTTTGTGCTCCGAATCTGAATGTTGAGAACGAACATTCACAGCCCGACTTTGTGGTCCGCTAAGGATACCATGAAAGAAACTGTGAAAGACTTTACACTAGTTGCGAAAGTTATGATTCTGTGCTCAGTCCTGCTAAACCTCCGTCAGGCAGGTTGTCAGTTCAGGGACTTTTTGCGAAAGTTCCGTGAAAGTATGGATACGGAACAGCATTTTGAAGGCCCCAGCCATTTTCGTCTTGCACCTGACTGAGTGCGTGGACATACTCAGTGGTTGGTGGATGGCGCACCTACCCAAGAGAAGCCTGCAGAGACGAACCGCAGCACAAACAACCAGCCAACGTGTCACACATTCCAGAACGCCATAACGCTAACTTCATTACTAGTACCAAGTACGGCATATGCAACATGCTGACGGTATGGGGCCGCAAAATAGCGAGCGTAGCCGTGAAAGACTTGAGAAGAACATAGATTTCTACACCAATTATATGCGTTTGCGGGCTAGTGCGTGTGAGAGCATCACCATACACACGGTTCCAAGCTCAACTAATTCATACCAATTCACAGCAGACATTGGTAGCAGGTGGCCGAGGGAGTGAACCGTTGCAGGGGGCATGGTCATGTTGCACTTTACATGACCCACGACTAAGCACATCGAATTCCATATATGTGCTCACATCTTCCGGATTATTCCCCCTTTTGTTACTCGAACAAGTTATCCAAACGCTCAGCATGTAACCTAATAAGTGTGCAATACCTTGCGAACAAGCAAGCCTTTGTCGTGGACAGGTGTAAAGGACGGCAGCCACGATAGGCTCAACCCGTTTGCATGGCATACTGTCCAGCAAACATCAACGGACACGACCCCGGCGCCTTCGGGCCGGGCCGACAACCACCGCTTGCGAGATGTGCAGTTCTCAAGGAACGCGCATATCCTGGCAACAAGGGGGACGTTTCTATTTTAGGCTGTGACTGGATACGCATATACATAACCAGGGTAAATCTCTGAGGTAAAGCTCATGAAGTCATAATTTGCTAAAAAACGGGTTCGCAACTTGCTGCAACTCTGTGTTATCGAGGAACGCCTGGCGGCGAGCGGCCGCTCACCAAAATTGTTCGCACGGATGCTCTGAGTCGGCGTGGGGCGCGTGATCGTCTCGACTCCTTAATCATAGAAGAACTCGGGGGTAGGCAGGGTAGGCACGGGAGGTGCTGCGCCCGGGCATGGGGCTGGGGGGTGGGGTGCACTGGGGCCTTTTAAATATACTTGAGCCGAGCAAGGAGGTACTCGGGGCGGGAGGGGTGGGTGAGATTGTAATCTATCTATCAACCTCTCTATTTATCTATGCAAATGAGTCGATCTACCTATCTTGACTACATGTGCCGAGAACTTCAAAAGGGTGGGGGGGGGTGGAGGCACTGGCGCATGACGAGAATGGGTCTTCACTGAGGCGCCGCCCCCACGACCGCAAAAGGTCGACGGATATTCAGGGGCTGGACATTGGCTGTATTTAGGTGCTGGACGGTACTCCCAACTGCTAAAGTCGTTGAGTTTCCTACATGTGACCAGCAGACATTGCGGGAGAGTGTTTCGGGGGGTCGTTGCGTTTGGGGTGTCTACATGGTGATTCACATGAGAAGTCCTTGCTGGAAAGGATTATAGGAAAGTCGTGCCTATTCGTAAATCGCAAGAGAACGCGCGCAGCCAAGTAAAACCTTGAGTTAATATCACCAGGGACTCAACAGGACTCAGCTGTCCCGACAAAGACGGGAGAACAAGCTGGGTCAAGCAGAATCCTGGAATCTGGCGCACGCAGATGAACCACAGTTATCATGACAGAACAACAGAAAGCACAGGACGCCTTCAAAGTACACTCGCAGGTATCGTCCTTATACAAAAAGTCAATTGTGACAGGAATCGTCCCGACCAGACAACATTTTCCGGAAACAATGTTATACTATGGTCAGATGCCTTCAAACTGCGCTCGCAGATATCGTCCTTATACAAAAAGTCAATTGCGAGAGGTATCGTCCCGACCAGAGAAAAACTCCGAAAGCAATGTTATTACCTGGAGAAAGAACTGAAATGCACTGAAAGTACGTGCTGTTCCTTGGGGATTGAGTGCCAAATGCCTCTCTGAATGATCTGCTTCATGGCTTGTTGGGGACCGCTGTTCCTTGCAGCAAAAGATGATTGCAAGGACCCTGCCGCGAACCTCTTGTTGCGCCGTGTTCATTAGGGATCTCTACAAAACACCATGTTTGCAAGGACTTCCGCGTTTGGGAGTAACTGAAATAATTTTGAACAAGAAGGTTTAAAGTCTAACTCAACTTCTGGACATTGCTCAGTTACGTTTTGGTGGGACACACATCGGGTTCATAAATCTGAGGTAGGGCTCATGAAGCTACGATTTGCTCAAACGGTGGCTCGCGATATACTTCAAATTATATAGTATCATCAAGGCCCCGATTCAAACTGGGCCGTTGAAAGTGAAATCATACAAGTCAGAACACAAATTACATTCGGAACTCAAGAGCATTGAAACACACACAATGGGTGAAAGCGCGAACTCAGCTGCTGTGTTTTAGTGGGTTTCGGTTGTCCCAATACTTGTAGCTGTTCCCTCTCGATATTCAGTGAGTACAGCACACGAATGAATCTTGAATAGGACGGTACTAGGAAAGCCACAGCAATGGTAGGTACATGAGGGGGGTGGGTGCATATGCATGAGCAGCAGAAGCCTGGATTTGGTTTAGGAAGTCTGTCAAAACAACGAACATCCGCTGAGAGTTCCCATACAACAGTCAAATTCTGTCCAAAAACTACTTGATGACTGGCTGTGGCTGGTTTGACCTGCGTAGTTGAAGGCATTTGCTCGTGTTGGCGAGATGTTGCGAGCCCTGCAGATGTGCTTGCCTGCGCTCTGCAGGAGCTCGTCCTCGTTATGGTCATCGCTCCTAGCATACTGAACCCGATTTGGTCCTGGATCATTGACAACCTTGTCAAGGACCGCATGAAAACTGACAATGTGGAAAGTCAGACACCCCTTAACTTCCAACTATTGACCGAGTGGCTTGGTCAGGACCCAAAATCTGGCCACGAGGAAAGAGGGCAAGAAGAGTCCCTCAAACACTATGGTACCGTGCAGACGGACCTCTGAATGTCAATGTTTGGTGCATACGTTCTTTCCCAGCACCTGCTAGGGGTGACGATGTTTCCCGGTGTGTTCCTGAAGTTAGCTGGGTTCCTGTGCAGCAGGCAGCATGGAAATCGAAGAGTTTCTGTCGTTTGGGACAGAAACTCAGGTCTGATGTACAGTGCTCAGCAACGTGCAGCACGCTTGCACGTCGACCTTGGGCTAAATTACTGTGGACTGCAGAAGCTGGCAAAAACAAGATGTGGCCACGCATGCCAACACGGTGGTCGAAGAGTTTCAAAAGTTGACAGGTTGCCGGCACTGAGTTGCAAGAAGATACTCTTTGCCTGTGAAATCATGTTGTATTTGGAGGGGTCAGGGGACCATGAACGTGAAAATCCATGAGCTATCCATGGTTTTGCGACGTTAGTGTGGTTGTTCCCCCTTGGCTTCCGTCCTTGTCCACAGCCTGCCGTGCTAAAACCCCCCAAAGCTAAAACCAAAAATCCACAAAAGCCCTTAAAGAGTCCCCCCGGCCCACAAACAAAGAACACTTGAGAATCCTAACCGCACAAGGGACTCGGGGGGGGGGGGGGGGGGGGAGTTGCGAAACTGCAATCGAGGGATGGTGGAACATGGTGAAATTAGAAAATATTAGAATGTAGGCGCATCAGTGACTCGACTCATTCCACAGTTGACTGTGAGGTGGCCCTCAATCACGATGCTTTATTGTCACACGTTGCATCGCTTTGTCTTGCACTTAGAAGCTGCTGAGTTCGCCCAGTGGCACACAATGCTCTGCCACAGAATCTGTCACAGAAGTGCAAAATGCTGTGGGACGGCAAGTAGCATCAGCAATAATTTGAGGATGACTTCGACCTGGAGTTCTGCCGTGAACTACGCAGCCAAGGCTGGGCAGGGAAAGCCAAAACCAGTTTCACAATCGAAGTCCACGAGCGCGTCGTCACGTCAGCGCCTTCAACAAAGACAAAGTCCTCAACGAACAGGGGCTTATGTCTGCATAGGAGTATGATCGCAGTCGCTCCGATCCCATACCTGTCGCATAGCAGTGCCGAACTTGTACGGCACATCCAAGATAAGCTCATACTTCTTGTCTGTCATGTTGGGCCGCACACAGCGGCATTGCATCAAGGCCAAGTCTTTCTAGAGAGCGCGACGGCCCCGCAACTGCACAAAATGCACAGCCGTTGATGATCCCATCCAGGAACAACTTGTTGCGCAAAGCAAGCAAGCTTGCGGAAGCGCATGATCTAGCTGCATTTCACCCGCAACCCCTCGCAGAGCAGGAAGCCCATGTTCAAAGCATTTTTGACCCGAAATGAACCAAAAAAGCACTCCATTTAGCCATGAGCCCGTTGTTTTGCGTAGGTCCCAATTGTGTACAAAGCAGGCTTGGAAGGTTGCATCGTCCGGATATCATCCACGCGGGTCCACGCATGGAAGCCTGTTGCACAGAACCTGTGTCCGTCTGTGGTTGGGAAGATAAAGCATAGAATGGCACAGAAAGCACAGCCCAATCATGCCCAATCCGCATGATGAGCCAACCCCGCCGAGCAACAGCAGCGACAGACATGGCTAACGGCATCCGTTTGCGATTCTAGTAGAGGACAGCGCGGGGCGACCTTGTGCTTCATCCAAGCGGGCATGGCCGACCTTGGGCTGAGAATTTAAGAGCAGGTTCTGCGTCTGGAGAGGGAGACGTGGCGATCTGGTTCTGAGTCTGGGTGCAGACAGGAACGGAGATAAGAAAGGGAGGCGCGTGTGCAAGATGGAAACAAGATGGGAAACAACCTGCACAATCTCAGGGAGGTCGGAGGGGGGCTGGGGGGTCCACGAATCACCTTACAGCAAACTTAAACGCTTGCAGTAAGCAGTTTGGGAAACGTGGCCGGGTACGTGCCAAGCCTACTAGACATCGGTCGCGTTTGGGACAAACAAAAGAGAACAAAAGCATGATGTGGCATCGTGGCCTTATTTCAAGTTCTCGTCTCCTTGTCTGGGCTTCTATACCATGAGCTACTCGTATTGCTTTGCAAGAGATTGCGCCACTTAGCGTTGCTCAGCTCCCTGACTATCTATGTGCTATCTATGTGCTCTGAGATGGGCCTCCTGGAACCGCTGTCACAAAGTCAAGCGGCTGTCGAAACCGAAGTGTCGAGCTAACTTCGAGCCAACTTTTTGTCCTGCAGCTTGCGAATGCTGAAGGGCACAAAGATCACCAGCAACGACATGAAGCGCGCATTGCTGATGCCTACCTTCCCTCTACCACGAGCCGATACCACGTTTCCAGGGACGATACTCACAGCGGTCCCATTGGGTCGCTTCCCAGCAACTCGTAGTCGCCGTTGATTCGTTGATACAAGATTGCCCTGTGAATGGCAATTCCGACCACAACCACCAACACAGCTCCTCGGTGTCTGACTAGCACTCTCGCCGTGCTCAAACATGCGCAAAAACTTCTGGATATACTGTGCACCAGGCCTTAGCTACAACGTGGTGGCCGCAGCTGGAGCTGACAGGCCCTCGGCCAAGCACGCTGCAGCGCACAGAAAGCCTCCCAATCACTCGTGGAAACCAGAGGAAAGAAGATGCTGGAGACGAACTAGATCCTTTGGCGGACGATTGCGCCGGCTTCCTGGAGGACAGTACAGCAATGTGCAGCACAGCCTTCCTGAGCCTTCCTATGCCTTGTCTTAACAGCCTTTCTACACATGCCTTTCCAGTGTGAGGAGCTCTTTCCAGAGAAGCGCATCGTCGTTTTTCACGTGCTGCCAAACCAGCTTGTAGCTGAGATTTGCTGTCTAGTCTCCTTGGTCTCGTGATGTCTCGGGAATGAGCGAGACTTGCACATCTGTGAGGCACGCAGGTGCCTGCTTGAAGTGGTCCAGCAGTCTGGCCAGGACGCATTCCAGTTCCGCAGATTGCACAATATGAGATCTGTAGACCGCGAGCACTGCCTACTGGCTCAATGGCCTACATCTTGACTGGGAATCCTACATCTGCCCTGCCCATGTGAATATGCCCTGGCGTGACGGCTATGATTCTCATTGTGCGCCTCTCCATCACCTCTCGCTTGACTTTGCGTCAGGACCTTTTCAGAAGCAGCCGAGTGGCTTAGCTTGGTTCAAGCTGCGGAGTTTGAACTGAGCTGGATGAGGACTTGAGATGGTTTAGAAATGTGGCAGAGCTGGGTAGAGATCCTGCGCTGCCAATCACAACTGTAAGGTCGAAACATGTCGAAACCAGTTAGCGAGTCTTGCGATGCCAAACTGTGCAGAATGTCGGGTGAATGTCGGGTCTGGGCCTTCATGGCAAGCCCCTCTGAAACAAAGAAAAGCCCAACTTTTGATTCTCAAATTGGTGCGTCTCTTCGTTCCTCGCAATTTAATGTAAAACATGTATGGTCTCTTCGTAAAAGTACACTGTATGCGCCCCTTTCAAAGACTTTTTGTTGGGCAGGCAGTTCTGATTACATGAAAGAAGTATAAATAATGAGCGGGGTAATGATCGTGCTCTCGCGGCACACACAAAGTACTGAAAAAACAACAAGGTCGCGAAAAGACTCTTTGTCGTTTTCGTTTTACTTCGTTCAGGGCGCTTTCTACACGCACTTCGTTGGCCGCTCACGCTTTCACTTCGCTCTCTTATTGTACTTTTACCTGGCGATGAAAGAGCCCCTATGAAGAGAACTCACTACGCTCAATTTCCTAGACTTAGAGGTGTGTTTCGTTCACGTATATTCTAGTTTCACGCGTTCGCTCATTGTATTCGTTCGCTTATAAGTGAATATCATTCATTCGTTTTCTTCACGGTGTTTGTTAAAATGGAGCTAAGGGGGCAGTTATAAAGATGCGAGCCCCCGTTAAAACCAAAATTCGCGCTTATTATACTACTCCTACGCGCGAGGCGAAGTCAGGGTTCAGAGGCGTGCGAAAGTTCGCTGCTCGGGGCAGGGACAATACTGTTTGTGTTGGGTAGGGGTCATGGGTAAAGGGCGTGTCAGGGATAAGGGGGAGGGGGGGGGGTGGCGGGGCAGGTAGGGGAGGGTCAGTGGGTGGGGGGCGGGGGAGGGGTGGTGCACGTCGGGTGCCCTGAAAAGCGGGTAGGGGGATGTTTGGAAGGCTGCCTAGAGCTGGATCTAAACGCCTCATACCTCAGGCCTCGTCGGAGATTGTTTGTGCGAAGCGTGTGCAGCGCTCACTTTAAGCTTTCACCTCTGGATCTAGGATATAATCTGTGAGGGTTTTGCGGTCTGATTTCACCGGTGCTTTTGGTAAGTCTTTTATGGCGGTTGGGGTCCCGAGGGTGGGTTTCAAGGTGCAATTAGTGTTGTGGTTGGACTGTGAGGAAAGGTGCACGTCTGAAATGCCGCAAACAATGCAAGGCTTCCATTATTTGCGGGTTGCGGAGCGTGCTTTGACAACAACCTTTTAGAAGCCACTTCAGAGAGATTTTCGTACATGCACAGGGGGTACGTCACATTGGCGGCAATGCGCGACGGAGTGCCCAGCACATGCCCCCAGAGGCCTGAAGAAGCGGCTCCACAACCGTCGCAAAGCCGAAGCGATGACAGCGTGCGCTTCAGCTCTTATTGCTGTGTTGAGTGCGTTGAGCATGCTTGAACGGTCTTGAACGCTGCCTTCTGACCAAGTTTCTGACTCGGAGACGCACTAACAGTCGCTAAATTACAATCAGGCTGTGACATCGTCAAGGCAGTCCGGACATGGCATGATGGACTTGTACCTCATAATCATGTGCAGTTGCAAAGTTTCGAGGTGTCATGACCGTCCCATGCCAACGTCTTTTGCAGGTCGGTCGCATATGCATCTTTCTGCCGGTTGAGGCAACTTGCATCCATGTCGCGTGAGACCATCGCAAATACATTGTAAACATGGTGTAGCGAGTATTTTCAAGCGCATTGCTGCGCACTTTCCAAGATCTCTATCATTCATGGCCCCTTGATAGGCAGAACAGGGCAGGGCAGGGCCCCGCAAAAATTACTGCCCCAGACACTGCACGGCTCACCAATGCCTGATGTCATTATGCTACGAAGCAGCTTTGAGTTTGCTTCATTGCAGGCCGTCCTCGGTCAAAGTCTAGCCGTGCCAGCCATCCCATGCACAACATGCGCCGTGCAGAGACGCTGATTTTGGGATGGTCTTGAGTGGGTGGGTGCGACCCCATACCTGCAGGCAACATCCTCTCTTGCTGAACATTTGGCCTGCGGGATTTGCAGAGCAGGGTTGACAGCATCATCGTGAGGAACATTTTTGCACAACCTTGGAAGCTGGGATATCCGGATCACCCCTGAACACCCCTGACAAAGCAAAGATTTGACTGAAAGATGCTGTCCAGATCTTCACGGTGACACCAACACGCCGCACGTGACTATTGCCAACATTGACTACTCGTGTTGAGATGCGAGAGCATCCCCAAGAGAGGACGGTTTCGAGGATAGCAACGATGGGCATGCCACGTACAAATTGTGGCGGTCCTGCGGCGCCCGCACCTTCCCCAATACTCATAAAGGCATCCATGAAACGTCAGCACCGCATCCGTGAAAAGACCCGTCGCAGCTTGTTCATGCAGACATGAGATGTCCCATGATCACCATCATGAGCGCTACTGACTTTGCCAGGGAGCTGACAGAAGAGAGCTTCCAAGTGCACACAGCGCAGTGGTCATCAGGCAAGCTCGGCTTCTGCAGATTGTGTTAGAAAGGCCCTTCTGCACGGGCGTTGCATGCGTAATTTGGTCCGGAATTTGAGCAGAATCGACAATATTTCAGACTATGAGGCTACAGGCTAGTGGAGTCAAAAAATGCTACTTCTGACCTCGACAATGACACTCGAATGACTAGCTGACTAGCCCTCAAGCTTGCTACCTCCAAATTTACGCACTCAAAGGGTTGACTTACCGGAGTCTTGAGTACAGTAATCCCCCATGATGCATCACGGAAAGCCTTCCAAGCATCAGTGTTACATGTGTTATGAGAAGTTTTTATTACAATTTATTACATCATTCATGTGTGGAGACCAAGAATATTGAATATTAGATGACCGGTGCAGGATCCATGGGAAAAGTCGAAAACGTCACCGGAAGCCACTTACACTGCACGCATCAGGCTTCAATCGCTGGGACCATTTGGATCTGGTCGGCACCCTACGACATGCTAGTCCAAGTTCAAGGCAGCAATGCAGCAAGCGTCAGCAAGCGTCAGCAAGCGTCAGCAAGCTACATGTAGTTGCGTGGAATATCGCGTGGCGTAGTGCTCCTCACCACCTGAGGACAGCACCCTACCACAGCCTTGGTCTTGAAAGCAATGCAGGACGCGTGTCATTCACCGAGCTTGCGTTGTAGGGTGAGAAGCTCAACCATGCAAGGAGCTTGATTGGGGCAGCATCGACAAAGTTTGCGCCACACAGCCTCATTAGTGAGCTTTGTGAAATTATGTTTTCGGCGCTCGCTGGTGTTGGTACCTGCCGCTGTGAGCTTTACGAATCTCTCATGGGGAGCCCCATGAGGACTATGGTTGTGGAAGTGGGGTTCTCGGTCTGTCTGCCATTGCGCCGCAGCCCCAGGGCTTTGCAATCCCTTTTCAGGTTACACAGCAGCAGAATACTGAACAATTCCGCAACATGTGGACCGAAACTGATGAGCTAACCTGGCGGGATACAATTTGGATGATAGAAAGTTGCCGTCGCTGTAAGCTCTGCACATTTGACATGTTGTGACAGCTGTCCTCGGGCGGTGCACCGCACAACGTCGAAAAGCAGATGTTGGAGTGTTTTCGGCTGGCATTAAAATGCTGACGGTCCCGCTGTGAACTTGTCTGGTGCGAGCGCATGAAACAAAACATATTTAAGCATGTACCTTCCGGCATCCTGCACAAGTTGGTGGAGCGAGCTCTAAAATAGTATTGCATACTAAACGCAGTGGCTACTTGCAACTGCCACTCAAATCTTGATAGTGGCTGTCACCCCACGTCTTGTAGGCAAGGACGGCTTTAGAACATTGGCACCGCAGTAGCCAAGCAGACGTTTTGTGACAAATTTGGCTTCTTCAGTGATCAGCTTCGAGTGAGTGCAAAGATACAGTAGCTTGGAAGACGTTGCTATATGGCAGTCCAGTGTTATGGCTATGCGTTTCCCATGTGGAGGGAGGGCTTGGAGTGAGAATTGAGCTTTTTGGCAAGGGAAACGTGCCGCAAACCTGTTGTCAAAACGATGTTGTCTTATGTTTTGGAAATGCACACTAGGCTCGAACTGGCCTCATCTTATCCGAGGGTTATTCAGGATGATCCAAAGCCTGGCACCCAAGAAACCTGAAGAAAATCTAGCAATTTGCAAGTGTCTAAGGATCGGTGTTCAATCACTGTAGCGAGTCGTGAGTTCTCACGCTCACGCATAGAAACCGACATGCGGCGTCCACATTGGCTTTAGCGTGTTCTTGATGCGTGTTTGTTGCCTTTGATTTGCAGATGTACTGCTTGGTGCTTTGGATTAACTGGGCTTGTTGGCTCTTGGTGTGTTTTGAATGTGCTCCTGGTTCACTGGAATGCTCTTGTATGTCCACATGGTCTCTCTTTGTATGGCGGTGGTAAGATGTACATGCTGTTTCTTTTTATGTGCTGGGTGTGGGGGTCTTAGCTTGATTGCCTTTGGCATGGAAAGATAGATGTGCGATTGCTTGCTGTTGATAGTCGATGGTCTTTTGATTCGCCGTGGTGTGGGACAGCCGTACAACTGTTTGCTCTCGATTTGCTGGAGCGTTGGACGTGAAACGGTGCCCACACCCCAGCACATCCAGGACAACGGCCCTGCACCCGGCAAATCAAAGGCAGCACCAGCAAGTCAATGGCAATACTTCGTACCATGCCGCACACCCTAGCAGATCAAAGCAAACAAATCTTTCATCTTAGGCACCTCGGAGCATCCAGGGGTGGCTGGTGAATCGGCGGAGTGCATTCTAGCGGACTGATGCGTGTGCGTGTGTGTGTGTGTGTGTGTGTGTGTGTGTGGGTGGGTGGGTGGGTGGGTGGGAGTGTGTGTGTGTGTGTGTGTGTGTGTCTGTCTGTGTGTGTCTGTCTGTGTGTGTCTGTCTGTGTGTGTCTGTCTGTGTGTGTCTGTCTGTGTGTGTGTGGGTCTGTGTGTGTGTGTGGGTCTGTGTGTGTGTGGGTCTGTGTGTGTGTGGGTCTGTGTGTGTGTGGGTCTGTGTGTGTGTGTGGGTCTGTGTGTGTGTGGTGTGTCTGTGTGTTGTGTGTGGTGTGTGTGTGGTGTGTATGTGTGTGTGTGTGTGGGTCTGTGTGTGTGGTCTGTGTGTGTGTGGGTCTGTGTGTGTGTGTTGTGTGTGTGTGTCTGTGTGTGTGTGTGTGTCTGTCTGTGTCTTGTCTGTGGTCTGTGTCTGTCTGTGGTGTGTGTGTGTGTGTGGGTGTGTGTGTGTGTGGTGTGTGTGTGTGTGTGTGTGTGTGTGGTGTGTGTGTGTGTGTGTGGTGTGTGGTGTGTGTGTGGTCTGTGTGTGTGGTGTGTGTCTGTGTGTGTGTGTGTGTGTGTGTGTGTGTGTGTGGGTGTGTGTGTGTGTGTGTGTGTGTGTGTGTGTGTGTGTGTGTGTGTGGTGTGTGTGTGTGTTGTGTGTGGGTGTGTGTGTGTGTGTGTGGTGTGTGTGTGTGTGGTGTGTGTGGGTCTGTGTGTGTGTGGGTTGGTGTGTGTCTCTGTGTGTGTGGGTGTGTGTCTGTGTGTGTGTGTGTGTGGGTCTGTGTGTGTGTGTGTGGGTCTGTGTGTGTGTGTGTGGGTCTGTGTGTGTGTGTGGGTCTGTGTGTGTGTGGGTCTGTGTGTGTGTGTGGGTCTGTGTGTGTGTGGGTCTGTGTGTGTGTGTGAGTCTGTGAGTGTGTGTGTGTGTGTCTCCCAGCAGCACGTAGCAAGGCATGGAAAGGGGCTGTGAAGGAGTGAAACCTCAGGTTAACCTCCAAAAATGCTGTCATGGGCGGTCATCAGATTCTTGTCTCCGTGCTTTGCATGCTTTGCCTCAAGGCTGGGTGCAAGGCAGTGCCTGGGAGCCACTCAGCAAGCGATACAACGTGTGAGCGGGCAATCTTACGGCTACTCGATGCTACTTGCAGAGCATGATTAGTGCCACTTTGTTCATACTGAGAGGTGGACAACGTGCCCGAAGCCTTGACGGCAGCATACTGCAACCTCCAGGCGAATCTGTCAGGCAGCTCGGATGAAACCCAGGATTGTCAAGTGGTGCAAATTGAAAGCACCTGCAGCATGACCCAGTGGTTCAGGTGGCTCAGGGCTGGACTCGGAGTCGCGCTTTCAACTACACTTGCCACCGGGAGCCACTCGGCTCAGAGTTTGGGGTGTTGCCACTGAGACTGCGCTTCCAACGTACCCAAAGAGACGCCCACTTTGCAACCAGGAGCATGCCTTAAGGTGTAGAACGTCAACTTTACAGCCGCCCTTTTACCAGAACAACTTTGCAACCCACATTCTTTCTTGGTTCCTTGCAGTGATCATGCTACTGCCATGTCCAGATACAAGACAGTAAACAACGTGGAGAGAGTGACCATGATGCTTTAGAGCCTCACGGCAGGGATGCACGCAGAAGTTGTTTCCCACAGAATGGGTCGCACGGCAGGGACACCGGCGGATGCCTTCTATCCCAACCCCTCGTTCAACTTGCCGTTCAAGGGTCAATGTTTGAGTGGCCAGGAGATGTTGGACAAGGACTTGGACTTCTACACTCGACATGGCGACCTGGCTCCCACAGTCCCGCTGCACGGTGAGGTACTGAGCCGGAATGACTTTGACAACTGAAAGGCGACTGGAGGCACTCGACAACTTTGCATGGTTGGACGCCCATGCCAGTGACTGAGGCTCGTTGCTGACACATCAAGAGCCTCGATAGGCTGGAAACGACCAAAAATTGGCCAGGGGCACTTCGACCTGGTTGTGGCAAACATTGTCGTCGGTCCGCCCGGCTGCCAAGCCTGAGCTTCGAGGACGCGGGGCAATTGGCTGGTAGCTATACCATACTGTACCTTATTTTTCTGTGCTGCACTATGCTGTTGCTGAGGCTGTGCCACTCCGCCTCCATGATAAGAAAGCTGCTCCGCACGAGTGGCCAGGCGTACGCAACACCATGAGAAAGACTGAGAACGTAGTATTTGGGTGGCAACTGCACAAGAACCACAGCGATTCGCGAAGAAAGAATAACCTCACAGTACACTCAGAATGCTCCGTGGAGAAGCCGCCTGAACCTGTCGGATGATTAATGATTCGGGTAAACATTGCACGCTGTGAGCAACCTTTAGCCAGGTCCTCTTGGCTGGAATGAGAGAGTTCCAGGTCAAACAAATCGACGAGGCCACAGGGGGGAGGGGAGTGGGCCGTACGGGGGGAGGAGGGCCGGGGGGCAATAAGAGAAGTGTCAACAAGCTATGCTGTGTACGACCATTGAAGCTGTGAAGGATTCGCAGCTGCAATAGCAATGAGAAGACAACAAGTCGCGCTAGGGAGGCTTGAAAGCCTTCGGAAGTTCAAAACACGAAGGCGTAGCTTATAATTGGAAAGCTGTGATCACCCCGATGATGCCCATGGACTACTTGCCAAGATGTTTCCTGGAAAGGCCTATGGTCAGCACTTTAGCTTGGAGGCGCTTTTTGATCTTGGACAGTCTCCGGTGTCGAGGCGGGGTCTCGGACGCCTCAGGTCACTGACACGTTGGATGGTTGGGCGCTGGTACGTGGTCGGCAGGGGCCTGAGAGCTCTGGCAACCTGTAAAAGAAAGCCTTTGTACTTTGACTGTGTTACTTGGTCTTTCCAATGCAACTGACCAGGCTGCGAAGCTCAAGTCCCGAGGAGCACAGGAATCCTGCTCAACTGATGGCTGCAGAGCAAAAGGCATCTGGCTAGCTGGCGAATGAGCTGCGCAGATGCATTTGCATTATTGTCTCTCCATGAGCGTGTATGTGAGTGTGTGTGCGTGCTTCAGAAGCCCACCGGAAATGTCCGGCAAGTGCGACATCCGAGAATCTGTTCAAGGTTAACTCACTTTCTGCATGCTGAAGAAAGTCCAAGCTGGCATGTGTGCATATGAAATGCATATGTATATTCTTTTTACATGATATTCTATATACATATATATATATACACTTGACAACGATACTAGACAGTCGCACCACGGCACCATGCACGCAATGCACGCTGAAATGAACCTCTCGTGGATGTAGCGCCTAGGCCCTAGGTAGCGACCAGATGTCGGTGCTGGATCTCTGCTGCTTTCAGCGGCACTCTAGACCGCAGCTGTCACCAGGCCTCGATTTCCCAGTGCTCAGTAACCTGTGGTTTTCACATGCTTTTCTCACCACACCACTTACGAAAGTACAGGTGCTGGGATGCAACCACCGGGCGAGGGACAGCCAACCAGTGCGGAGCCTGCAGGTTCAGAGGGGTGCGGAAGTCCTCAAGAAACATGTTGTGCGTTGACCGGCATTGACCACCGAACCCCCCCATTGGCCCCACATGGTTCCAATCGCTGCAAGTCCAAACGGCGGTGGCAGTGCCAACAGCACCTGTTGAAGAGCCGCCACAGGCGCTGAGCTTTTGCCTTGCTCTCTGTTGGATTCACAGTTCACACCGGTTGCATAAGTTGTTGTCAAGAAGAGCGTCCACTGCCGGAGGCAGCGCAAAAACTGCTCCAAACAGGCTCCGAAAGATTGGTTGGTTATCGTGGGCTGCTTGTGAAAATTAGGGAATGAAAGAGGCCTTGGCATAGTCGGCATCAGCAACATGCTACTTCTGGTACTATGTGCAGGCCAGAAAGGTAGCAAAGGGCCTGGCAAGGGGCCAGGTAAAGGCCCAGGCCAACAAAGCTGGGCTGTATTCGTAGCGTTCGACGGACAGTTGTAGCAAGTTGCGTGGCAAACATAGGACAGAGTTGCACAGAGTTGCACCGCTGCAGGTGGCAAAGGGTCAGAGGCGCCTCTGACATACAAGCAGAAGCAAGATGCAGAGCTGGCTGCCAAGGCAAGGATCAAAGCGTTTTTTCACTACAGGATTGCAAACATGGATGCACAAGTTGATGCAAAGGCGGCCTAAGCTTCCTCCTTGTACCTCGGACCCCCAACATCAAAAACTACGTAAAGCCACACCTTGGAATCGTAAGTAAGGACCTAGACAGAACATAGCATCATCCTACTTGGAGACCACAAGCAAGAAGGCAGAAGAAAGCTATTCAATATGCAACAGCCGTTCGGTGAGCCAGAGAATGCAAAGGATTCAAGGGTTTTTGAAGAGTTCAACTCAGCAAGGTGCACATGGTTAGCTTACTGTGAGCTAGCGGGTGTTTGTTGATGTTTGTTTCAATGTCCTGGCATGTTCGACGCAGGAAGAAAGCCTCACCGCCCCTCGTGGGTTTGCCGGGAAGGAGCTTCACAGCGCAAGTGGGGGGTCATTTGGTAATGACTTCGACGTGAAGCTTCAGTTTAAGCTCTAAAGATGTCGATGAGGAGCTGCTATCTGAATGGGAAATCAAGGTGCCTCGGGTGAAATGACCTGGCAAGGGCATGCATGGTGGCTTGCAGCTTGCAGCATGTCAGAAGACATCACAAGACATCAGGTTCTCGATGGCGAAACTGACATAGAGGAAGGACCGATGCTCGGCCTCAACGAAGCACATGCAACAGTATGTGTCCGGCACATCTACCATCGTCCTGCCTGAACGAAAGCAGAGAATGCAGAGGCATGTTTGACAGCAGGGCGTAATGGACCTGACCTGTGCTGACGCATCCTTTAGTGAAGGTACTCTGGCAGGAAGTTCATGCCAACTCGTGGGTATTTTGCTTGCAAGAGGTGCGGTTCAGCATCTCACCAGCATTGAAGGTCCCATGAGCTTTTCCGTGCATGGCCCTGCATGGCAGCGTTCCTGAGCACATTCGATGATTGGTACTTGCCCCGCCTGTGGCAGTTCTGGGGGCAATCTAGCTTTGAAGCCTAGCCGTGTGCACGCAATTTCGAAGGCCAAGCGCGTGGCATGAACAAACCGGAAACCCGATCCAAGAAGGAAAACCCGGAAAAAACAGGGTAACCAATCCCAGGAAAAGGGTCTATAGCAAGTACAACGTCGTCTGGTTCATGCATATTCACGCAACAGTCGCGTGGCCATTTCCCATGCTCTACTTTGCATCACACTGAGGTGATTTACCTCGCCCATGCCAAATTTGTGCACTGACAAATCTGGTCGTCTTTCGACCAAAGCTGCAAAGACTCTGTGGCAATGCTTCTGGAAGCCGATGGTCGCGTGGAAGCGCGGTGTGTCTCCAGGCTGTGTACATATCGAGCAGCAATACTGCAGCACCACAGCATAGCCAGTCACGGTCTGGTCTGCGTGGTCTGAATCAAAAACCTTGGTTTGACCCATGCTGATCGCTCTGGCAATGCATGCACCTGAGGCAAAGTGCGACGGCCATTTGGGCCACATCTTTGATCCTGATCACGGCGCCAAGCGCACCAACCAACGGCACTGCGCGACTCGAAACGATTGCTTGGTGTCGGCTTGCTGGCACTGCTACCATGTTCCGACTCGTTTTGAAGTCAGGTGTCCGGCAAAATGCTCAGCCTAGTGCCGCGTTCCATGCATACATGGCCACGCCGCTGTCAGGTGAATGACACGGCCATCCAGTACGTCATGTATCCTCCTCCAGCAGGAACTGAGGAAGGCGGCAAGCTGGTCTTGCCAGCCACTGGCACAACTTCGTCTTAGCTCGCTAGGAAGACCAACCGGAAACATCAACCATTTGACATCTTAGATACTTCCTTAGTTGACTTCCGTGCTGGCCCTTCGAAAAAATCTGTTTGTGTTGAATCTGTCTGAACGTGGTCCTTAGCCGAAGACATGTCTTAACGTCCGCATCCTTCGACCTTGACAGCCCCAAACAGGAAGTTCTCACAGAAAATCCACAGAACACTTCAGTTGGGCTTTACATGGTTTCACCTTGGCTGGTGGAAGCTATTGTCCATGCCAGTTTGGCATCTATGTGACAGCAAGGGGAGGCAAGTGTCTAGCACCAGAGTAATCCGGAGTATATTTGAAGAAGGGCAGGAACCACACTCTTGCCTACCCCAGCTTGAGCAGATGTGCTGCTTGGAATAGGAATCCAGCCGCATTGTAAGAGGAGGGAGGAGAAAAAGTCTGCCATGACCGCGCTTGCTGCACTGACTGGCACGAAGCCATGCCTTCAAAGGCAGAGGCTCTTCTACGCATGACGTTGAGCAGCTTCGAGAACTAAAAAAAGCACCCCACCTCGGCCTGCACTCATGCGAAGACACAGAAGCATAGATGTCCACAGCGGCACAAGGGGTCCGTGGAGGGTCCATAACGCCAAAAACGTGCAAAGGGAGTCTGTAAGGAGGCCGCCCCAATTCCCCCCTGACTACTAAAGACGAATACCAGAGGGTACTGTGCCCAAAGCTGGTGTTTGCTGAGGGGTTTGCTCATTTTTGGGGTTTGGCGCAGCCTGGTTTGGCCTTGCTTGCCCAGCCCACTGCCATAGCTCCCTTCTCTCCTGCTCCCTTCTCATCGCTGGCCTCGGGTCCCTGGCACTGTTGTTTGTGAATTGTGGCGCATTCTGGTTGTTCCACGCCCTCCGTGGCGAAGTCCCCTCGGCGGAAAATCACTTCCGATGTCGTCAAGAAGCAATTGAGCGACTTGCTGTCCGATGTTCCCTGTCCGGTCAACATGCTACGCCGGGAAAGCAGACCTTCCATGCCTTCGGGAACAAGATCGGTGAGCAGTATTTGGGAGATCGCAAGGATTACTGGGTAGCTTTTAACTCGAACCCAGTGGCTACTGCGCCATTCTGTGCGGTGGTGGTGTTTGGTCTCGACAGCCACTAAACCGGGAGAGACCAGATGGGCAGTGAGGTCTCGACAGCTGGGCGGTGTGAAAGGTGCCAATTGGCGTGTCATCCGTCTCGGCTTCAACACTGAGAGCTGGAAGTTGCTGCCAGTAGTATATTAGCTCCAGCGCCGCCTCGAGGCTGAATTCCCACAGCTGGAGCTCCCTCCGGGGGCACTTGCATGGACGGTCAGCAGCCGACTTCTCTGCTTCTCTTGCTGATGCGCAGCTCGTTTTGGAACCTTTGCGCATTGCTTCGCTGTGAGCTCTCGGCCCGGCTGCAGGTCGCCCCTCTGCCTCTTGGAGCGCCGCAACACATCGCAACACTCCTGAGTGGGAGTGGGAGTTGGTGTTGGAGCCGCGGGTTCTTCTGCATCAGGGTTGGCATCCAGCTCCTGCGCCTGCTGGTCCCATTTCAGTTCCAGCATGAGTTTACATGTACGTGCGAATTTACATGACATCTTACCAAATATCGATCCGCAGAGGGTGAAAACATTCCTTGTTGGGCATACATCCCTACAGTTATTGTTTACTTGACTCTTATGCCTTCGTCAAGACTCGTATTCTTATCAGTGATCAATACTCGTAGAACTAACACCGTTGTAAAAAGGTTCTGAGCATTTTGATCACGACCAGGTCTTCTACCGCTCCTTTCCTCCTCGCCCTCGCCACTGCCTTGACCTGTGCAGCCGCCTTACAGCCCCCACATGCACTGGAGAGCAGCACGCCAACCTACAGTGCCGTCGCTGGGCCACTCAGGCGGCCACTCCTCCTCCCCAGCATTGCCGTGCGTCCTGTGGTTTTGTGTTGCGCTTCAGTCTAGCCACCTGGCCACGCTACTCCACCTACTCCGCCTTCAACCGCACAAAACATCCCTCATCACGGTCTGCCACTGCTCTGGACCAAGATGTACTGCCGAGGCTGACCTCCCACCACGGTCAGCATGACTCCCCTTTAGGACCTGATACAGCTACTGTAGCATCGTGTTGCTCATAATGGTCGCAATCTGGTGCCTTGCTCTGCGTCCTCGTCCCATGCTGACTTGCCTGACTTTGTGAACGCTCAGCGTCTGCTCAAAAAGCCGGAGTCTTCGTGACAGTGAAGGCTTCGACCTCCTTTTCTGTAGCTGTGCAGTTGTGCTTGTCACTTGCTACCGCAAGATGCGGCCTTTTCTGGATGCACGGCTTGCCGGAGAGATTGATGTGGAGGTGCCGCATAGGCTCTGTGTACTTTCTCTGGATGCGGGAGGTTTTGCGGCCAACTTGTTGAATGAATGAGCTGTTGAAGTGTAGCATGAGTGCGGCATCACGTGTGAACCGCCAGGAGGTTTAGGTTACTCATGGAGTTTCTTAAATGCGCTGTTGTATATTTGTTGCCTTAATATCAGCTCGTGATCAAGCTTGGGCCCTTGAGCACTGGACTGTGCTGAATATGTGTCTTGGCTGGGCTCGAAGCATGAGCGTGAAGTAGTGATTTCGCAGTAGGCAGCAAAGAACGATGGGCTTCCTTGCGCAGCTGGATGCTGCAGTCTTGGGTCGAATTTTGTCATCACTTTCTCAGCGGCAAGCGCTTGCGTTGACGATACTCGCGCAAGACTGGCTGCAATTGGTGTGTACACGTCTTTGGCGGCTGGTCGTAAGCCCAGACCTTTCACCTGGCCTTGCACAAACTGCTGCCAGACACTGCATCCGTCTGCGTGAAGTTGTCTTTCAATCAAGTCAGGCAGAGGATGCTAAAGGTTTTTGGGCACATGCCGCAGCAATCTGGCGCTTACTAGCCACTCCGGCTCCCATGAGGCAGCTCATTGTTCGGGGTTCGGGCGAGGACATCAAGAGAGCTGCTGTATTCCTTGCTGAGTTGCAGCAAGCAGCTGGCAACTGCAAGAATCTTCAGATTTTTCATGTGGAGCACTTCTCTGCAGCTGACGACGGTGCCATGCAGCTCCTGCTCAAGTTCTGCGCAGTCTTGCATCTCACATCTTTGAGACTGCGCAATTGCAGTTTGAAGGCTTCTGCCTGTGGTGTAATGTGCAACGAACTTCAGGCTTCGCCGGTACTTGGCACTCTCTCGCAGCTTGACCTATGTCAGAACAATCTGTCTGAGGAAGGGGCCGCAGCGCTGGCTGGCTTGCTTCCGAGCATTCCAGAACTGCATGATCTTTCACTGTCTGGAAACGGACTTGGTCCTGCTGGCTTAGCGGCACTGGTGCATGGGCTTCCAGCATCGCTCACGCATTTGGATCTGTCACTAAACGGGCTGGGTACCGTGGGCCTTGCAGTTTTATTGGAAGCGAATCTACAATCCCTGGTGTCCTTGAATGTGCGCGCCAACTGGCTCGGATCGAGCGACATTGACGTGCTGCCCCGCCTGCTGCAGTCGATGAGAAGCCTTGCAAGCTTGGACATCGCGCTTCTTGGCTGCTTTCAACATGCTTCAGCGTCATACAGGGCCATGTGGGCCATGTGCAGGAGGATGCCCAGGTTTGTCGGAGTTCGGAGTTTGTCGCGTGTTGGCTTGGCCTCTAGCATTCGCAGCCTGGCATTACGGCATGACGATGTACGACGCAGCTTGTTGCTCGAGTTGTCTCCGCCTAGATTTTAGTGGCCGCTGTTGGCAGCACACATGCGCACGCCTGCCACCTGTGACATTCTGTGACTCTTAAGAAGGGCGACAGGGCGAGCTTTACTCTGCATCGCTTGTTGTGTAAACTCAGGGCTTATATACTCAGCAAGTGTCAGCAGTTCAGCTCCTTCTCCGAGAGATCGCTCAGACATCAGGGTTGGAGTGCCCTGACAAAAGCAAAACCAAAAGTCTCCGAAGATCACGAGCTCTTGAGCCATTGGTTGCTATTGGGAATGGGAGCCTCGCGATCTTCTGCGACGCTGCGGTAATCATGGTGTCCAGCAAGCCTGTGAAGGAAATAAGCGCAGCGATGGTTGCTGCCACAGCTGTGCCATTGGCCCTAAACTGGACAGACGTCATCAAGACCCGCATGCAAGGCCCTTTCGTGGCTCATGTTGAATCCCCGCCAGAGCATGACCGTGCTTTCTAGCCCTGACCATGTTCTTGGCCGTCAGGTGCCCCTTCTGCAGGATGCACAGCTCCGGCCTACACTGGCGGCTTTCTGAGCGTTGCGAACCGTATTGTTGCCGAAGAAGGACAGCCGAATCGAAGATTCTGATATCGGAGTGTCGCAACTTTGTGTTGCAACTTTGTAGCTTAGAACGTATGGACTGAAGGACTCCTGGCATTGTGGTCTACAGGCATGCTTGCATCCTTGGGACATTTATCTCAAGTGTGAGTTTCAGAATTTAAGCCATCAAGACAATTTTGTTCTCGCACCGCCCTCAGAAGTATTAGGGGAGGCTCTCGAACAGCGATCATGCTTTGTATAGACTGCCACTACACAGGATGGATGGTGCAAGACTCCCTGCAAACCTCTCAAACATCTCAAACCTGTCCTTGACGCCTAGGACGTGAGTGCACCGTGGTTGGGACGCGAATTGGAGCATATCCAGCAGTTCGAGACGGCCTCTCCATGGTGGCCAAGGCAAGGCACTTCAGCCGTGCCAGAGCATGTGTACCCAAGACTGCCGATGTCATCCGATGTTTGTCGGCCTTTGTTCTTTGATGTTGCAAGTTGGTCTACCTGACAGGGGAAAAGCGGCGGTGAGGCGGCTTAGCAGACATTCACAGACATCTCCTATCTGAAGCCGTTTGTTCTTTTTTGTTCCTGCGAAGCAGTTGTTCACCAAGCGAGGCAGGCCTGGGCAGCAAGTTTAGTGCCGGTGTGGTTCTGGGGGCGTTGTCGGGCCTGCTTGCAAGCCCTTTCGACTTGGTGCGGATCAGGCCACTCCTGAGAAATCTAGCAAGTCTCTAGCATACTCACATAATGTGGTACGCGAATGAAACTACACTGTGAGAGCGTGAGCATATGTCAGCACGTGTCGGCCATGCAGGGTCCAAGCCGAAGCTGGGAGATGCGACAATGGCATTCTTACAACCGGACTGCGTGCCGGACATCCTCAACGAATCCATGGCACGGCTGCCTGTCGGACATGGTGCACGGACACTATTGACTACTGGATACTATCAGTTCTGTCAGTTCTATTTCTTTCGCTTCTGCGCATGCATGGCGTAAGTTTCCATGTGGGTGTCTCACAAAGCTCACAAGAGGTCTGCAGTCAGGGTGTTTGGCCTCCATGTTTGCAGTTGAAGGTGTCTGGCTTCAAAGCTGTGTTGAACAACGGTCTTCTCAGCATCTTCAGAGGATCGGCCATCAACGTCGCCTTAAGCTCAGTCGAACAATGTCTAGCATCTCGGGCAGGACAGAGCGGGGCACATGTAGCCCATGCCAAGTCCTGACACCTGACAGGTTCGCAGCGTGTGCATGACTGTTGGGACAGTGCCGGTCTACGAGCATCTCAGCAGCAAAAACCATGCAGAAACACAAGGCCCGTCACGGCCCGGATCTCTAGGCTTTAAAAGACACTGCAGTCAGCCGATTTGGCCCTGCGAAGATATCTATTGGAAGTTCACTTCGCTCCTTCGAGTCGCTCTTGCGCCTGTAGAGAGTGGTCATGACGGTTATGACGGTTATGACCTTTGTCGTACGCGCTACGCCACTTCCTGCCGCGGCGGCAGTCGCTTTGACGATGCCCGGGGATCTTCGGTATTGGTGACTGGCACGAAAGCATTCGCAAATCCCCATCGAGGGAAGTCAAGGGTCGGTCGACTGCTGCAGTGCTTATGGCGTGTACTTTCATGGCCTGCCATGTGTCACCCTGCTTGGGATGGTGTGGTGCGTACGCCCCGGCATGGCGCCAAGTTCGGCACTGTGGCCAACCAATGCATCAAGAACTCGTCATTTTCATCCAGCTCGTCCTGGTGTCCATGCGCCATGGTTCCGTCAATGGCTCGGTGGTCAGCTGCATTTGACACAGGCTTTGATTCGGGAACTTCTTTCTGCTTTGAGCGAGGGCAAGCCATTCAGGACACTGATTCGGTCCACCAGAAGATCCCATGGTGGGTGTCGATCCGTCGTGGCTCAAGCTTGATAGAGGGTTGGGAGCGCTTCAGCTTGTGCTGCTGCAGCTACGCCCTGTGGATCTTGGAAGGGGCATATATTGCCAGAAGCCAGTGCACTTAAACTCCACAGTCTTGCCGATAGCTCCGATAGCTACCGTCCGGAGCTTTGCATTTTGTAATCGCTCCGGGCACAGTTCTCGATTGTCTTTGTGCTTCTTATACAGGAACTTGTCACCGACTTTGTTTGCCGTCTCGAGCATTTGGCAAGGGAGCCTTGCTCAAAACAACTCAACACCGTCCACTCAGCGTGGTGGAACCACATGGGTCCTATATATCTCCTGCTCACACCACGCTCGCTGCAAGGCACGCCCTGCGGGATACCTTCCCGTTGCAACTCTACTGCTCTGGCGTGGGTGGTTTCGTCCCGTGTGCGCACAGCCAATCCAGAGAGGACTGGCCACACAGACCACAGTGCGAAGTTTGCCTATGCCAAGTTCAGGTAGGGGCCGCTGTTCGCTTCTCACCTGTTTCGCTTTACCATCGACCTGCGCGTTGCCCAATTCAATTGGCCAAGACACGGAGGTCATGGTAGTACTGTACTGACAGACGTTGCCCACAGGCATGTCGCCCTAATCACTGTCCGCTCTGTATTGGACACCATGCCCAATGTTTCACGAAGCTGGAGAGAGACTGTCCGGAAAATCTTCTCCACAAACGTGACGCCCTGAAGGGACCAACGACGTGTAGTGTACTTGTTTCTAGTAAAGGTTCCAAGCACAGCGCACATTTTTTGTCGGCTTGCTTCGGGCAGCATGCCGTATGTCGATTACACACCGTCGAACAGGTACGTAACAGACAGCCTCAGTCTGGACAAATTGTACGATGCTTGGACAGTTGCGCAGTCGATTGTTTGCATTGTGCGATGCTCAGTTGTGCATTGGGTCCAACTTGGGTTGTCGCATTGCGTCAGACTGATCCTAAATTCCAGTCCAGCGACAGGTCTGACTTTATGGGATATGGATGCTCATGAGCCGATCCCCTCATTGTGTAGAGGAGACGTTCTACGATCAGGAGTGAAAGACTCAAGGAACAAGCAACTTATGACGGCACGCATTCCTGCCATTGTGCTGACGTACCCATGCAATTTCACGGCACGAACGCATTGGCCAGCAGCGTGGTTGCCCATTTCAAGTTGCCTGCTTATTCAGCCTGTGCAAGCCAGGCATAAATAGCAAGGTTTGCACGAGCTCACGCCTTTAGCAAAACACTGTGCAAGCACCTCAGGCACACCAAGCATTTGGCCAAGTCTCGACTGGATGTGGCGGATTCTCCAGCTCTTCACCTGGGCGCAGGTGTCGTCGCAGGACTTGCGGGAACAACTGTTACAGCTCCGGTAGCTTGACAGGTCGTTGGACGGGGCTCTTGTCGTTTGTGCTCTGTACTTACACGCATCACGCGTGATAACCTGTAAGGTTACTCGTTCTATGCCAGTCATCCAGCTTTACAAAAACATGTGGTCGAGCCAGATGGGCCCCTCCGCCCCCTCAACCTGAACCCTCCTAAGCCCCTGAACCTCCACCAAAAAAACCGTTAAAAAACCCCTAATGCTACCCGTAAACCCTAAACCCTTTGCCCCTTAATCCCTTAGTGAGGGTTTACCAAGCTGCAGCATGTTGATGCGTACTGTAATGCATACTGCATACTGCAAAATACTGCACCATCAAGATATCATAAATGTGGGAGACTGAAGCCAAGGCAGATGTGGTGCGCACGCGGATAATGCAAGAAGGCCGGAGCCAGTGCCGCGATCATTTCAGAATATATCTACTCTGTAAAGGAGTCAGTCTTCAGGTTAAAGCCGTCGGGAAGGATAGCTATTTGGCGGATTTTTTGCAAGCTTCACAAGGCATCGCCCAACATGACTTCCTGGCCCAAAAGGTGGTACATCGCCAACCAGAATGGTTTCGGCAATTGGCGCCATTGCACGTGATCGCGGCCTTGCTGGTTTTTTCCGTGGATGGCTCCCCGCCTATATGAGGGCCTCTCGGCTTTGAGCATCTACTCCAGTTCACGTGAAAGAAGCGCGGCCTAAGTACGTCAAGTGGGAGTTGATTCAGGGGCGGCCAAACGTTTTCCCACGTGTAGAGATGTCATTTGCCTGAAATCTGCCTACATTGGGCACCTCTGGGTGCGGGTGTCTGGGTCAGAGTGCCACGCAGTGAAGCAGCATGCACACAATGTGACTGTGCTGACCAGGTGGGACCTCTATTCCTCCTGATGCCTGCACTGGTGGAGCAAGTGCGCAAACTCTTTGGCCTGGATTTCATCGTGTGACTTGGGGCTCTCCGATGCAACGGCCTTTGCCTCTCTGCACATTAGAAAGTCCCAAAATGATCAAAATGCCCATAAAAAGGCAGAGACTCAGAGAGGTAAAGCAAATCAGGCAGAGACAAGCCGGCCAGTGCAGCTGGAATCGAGCAAAACTGAAAGCTTTTGTTTGGCCATGTTTCGCTGGGTACCAATGGTACCAACTTCATTTCGTACAGACTGTACAGAAACAGGCAACATGCCTCCAAGCTGAGAATGCGACGTCGACATGCTCAACACAGGAGCATTTGGTTCCTGAGCAGCTTTCAACTCTTTGACGTCCATGTCGACGATGCATGCTGCATAACGCATAGAGTCATAGAGCTTGCTCCCAGGGCTTCCCCTTCAACTCTAGAATCCCGCACGCATCGCCGTCGGCTCCTTTGGTCCTTGCGTTTCATGGTCAAGATTGGTCAAGATAATGTTAATGCACTGCCATGTCTTGGCAATGCCCTTGACTCTGCAAGCCGATCGGGGGTTGGCAAAATCTCAGGCATGCCATCGCAAGTGTAAGACTTAATGGAATCTCGTGGTGGTGAGAGATGAGTACTGGGGAGTGAGAGCCAAGGCAGAACAAGCTCGGGCCAGCAGGAGTTAAGGAGTTCCTGGATCACCTCCCGCCTCGGACTCTGCCACGGATACTACGATCTACGATAGTACCTACGGTAGATCACGTCCACAGCCAGGTAGCACATATTCTGCAGGTCGCTGCCCAAGCTGCGAATGCTGAACCTTGCGGAGAACCAGTTTGCAACCGCCACCTGGCAAGTCACAGCAAGCACTGTGATACACGTTGTGATACTGTCCGCATACTGTCTGCGGCAAGCAGCTGACACTGCAGTCTTAGCTTCGGTCTCAGATGGCTGAGGCAGACTTCTCGAATCTTGCCTACACATGACAGTGCAAGTCTGTGCTCACACACATGTCCAAATAGCGCCGTCTTGCAAGTCGCCCCTGTTTGTCGTTAATCCACCGTGAGGCCGAACTCTTTCAGCCACTTGTCGGCACAGAACTCTGCGGAAATGATGCCGAATGTCGTTAACAAGTTGCCGCCCATGGAGCTCGTTCAAGTTCTGTTCAAGTGGTGTCACTCTCCGGTTCTTGGATGCTCTTGCGTGCTCAGGACAACTTTCTACATCTGCACCATGCCTAGAGGAGCTGAACTTGAATGCCAATGCGCTTGGCAGTGATCAAAACACATTGCGCTCCGCGCCTGCAATGATAGGGCCATCATGGAGCCTCCTGAAAAACGTCCCGGTCTTTGTATTTGCTAAAACCGCAGGGCGCTCCAGGCCCTCGGTGGATTTCCGCGGGCCTGCAGGGCCCTCCGCAACAGGCCTCCACCCCTGCAGCAAGATCTTGGCCGTGCCTCTTAGCCAGCCGGCTGCAACGTCTCAAGTCAACACCGGCACTCACCGAATCAAAGCAAGAGCATACCTAGCGATGAACAACAGCATAATGGTGGCACTGACCAGCAGTTCTTTTCAGCGACAAGCCAGCAACTGGCGCACTGCATTTTTGGAGGGTGCTTTCGGCACGCTGTGGCACGCTAGAAGCAGAAGGGCGTGGAATAACATAGCCACACGAGGCTGCGCTTGGCAACCATGCTGAGGCGATTGAGTCCGATCCGAAATGTCAGAAAAGCCGTTGCCCATCTTGTCGTGCGTGGCGACCCTCTTGTGGGTGCTGTGATTAAGAGTTTGTTTTGCTACAGTATCGCAGTTGATGTTCCATTTGTTCGGGAAGTCGTTGTTGCAGATGTTCCAAGAAGGGCAAGGTTGTCCGTGGTGGGGGGGAGGGGGGGGAGGGGGGGGGGGGG